ATTAATACGTCCATTTGGTCCTCGAGTCTTTTTAATATATATTATATGTATATTCATTATGCTTTCGTTTCGCTGCATGTGAGGACGAAGCGCCGAACGCGTTGATGTGAAATGAAAACCTGCGACTGGCTGTTCTGACAGCTGGGTGAGCGAGACGGGACGGCGATTATCATTAGCAAAGAACGTTTGCTGTACTTTACCTCGGCGACGCGCCAAAAGGACAATTCTATCTTTCTGCCTCCCAGAGATTTGATGCATGAAAGGAGACTAGCGGACGAGAGAGAAGGCCGGGTACCGCCGTAACCCGTATGCCCGCTTTGAAATCTCCTTTCGGCGTGACATTTCCAGATACTGCCATATCGGCCCGTAGCCGCAACCACGGTTGTTGTTCTACAGCAGGCAGATAAATATATTGCTCACGACTCACCGCTTGTCTTACGTGTATACGCATGTATTGAGATTGAGTCGTGGTTATAACTTTATAACAACAACTAATAAGCCACAACTAACGCTGTTTAACAGGGTAAAACACCACGACACAACAACAAGAGAACAGGGAAACGGGTGGTTTTTACGTGGTAATCGAGTGTTACAACGCTACACACATTCCTTGTTGTGGTTGTGTGCCGAGCACATCAAATGTTTCCTTAACTTCACCTGCTGAACAATGTCCTGTTCAGCAAGAAGACGATGATGAGGCCGGCTGGTCCGTCCTCATTGTAATAAAGGGCAGAAGACAAATGCACTGTACTTCCCACCTCCCACCCATGCATGGCCCGAGGGCAGGAGCTACCGCACACAGTCGGTAACCAACAGCCAGATCACTCACACACCGTAGTCACGGCTGCAGGAGCCATGTTAGGGTTAAGTGTCCTGCCCAAGGAAGCATCAACCCGCGGGTTAGCAGGGCCTGGCATCAAACCGCCATCCTCTGATTACTTATGAGGTACCTGGGTGCATCCCTAGCGGTGCCCTTCGTCTTCGCGCTCATCCGAGCATTCGGTGGCTGCGATCGAACCGCCATCCTCCCGGTGGCACCGGGTTGTCTGAGCAATCATGTCATGGGCGCGCCCACATGGAAACCGGTCCTGGCAGCCCTCATTGATTTAGTCGGTAAACCAGCCCCCCTCCCAGGCACAGCAAGGGGGGGGGTGGCGTGATGGATGTGTCCTGACAAGAGAAGATGACACCATTAAATGCTCTCTAGTCCTTTTTTTTTTGCACCGTCACTATTCTGAGTTCAGGGATTATATATTTCCATCGGCCGTGTTGAACTGCTGCACGCTGTTGGCACGGTGATTACGGCGTATTTGTGCTTTCTGTATTAGGGTCAGCAAACTGCATGGGACGGGCTTTCAGCGCGGTGACGCGAAATGCAACTGAAAAGAGCCAGAGAAGCCAGTTGGGGGGAGGAGGAGGAGGAGACTCACACGTGTGCTCAAACAGATAAAGCCCGAGTGTGAGGTGGACGCTTCCTCTGCATGGCGCCGTGCTGGACGCACCGCCAGTTACAGAGCAGTGAGGGGACACTGGGCCCCCAGACAGCATGAGCAGGTACGTTAACTACAATGAACCACGTCCACAGGCAGAGCCAGTGTGTCCTGTGTGCGTCTCACACACACACACACACACACACACACACACACACACACACACACACAGACTAGTTTTGAGTCTATTCGGCAGCTGAGGACACGCCCTGAGACGGGGGGGTCCCACAGAGGGAGATGACAACTGCACCAAGAGGTGTCCGTCTTCGCTCACATGAGTCTTTTCATTTGAAGTTGCACTCGCATGAATCACTGAATTGCATTTAGAAACAGTCGCAACAACAACCACTGCACAGACATGCACACACTGACTAAGGGTTTGATCCAACAGTGTAACCGTAACCAAAGAGAACCTCCCTCTCTCTCTCTATCTCTCTCTCTCTTGAGGCAAATGTTCCAGCGCGATCCGATGGTGGAATCCCACAGCCTGGGTCCGTCCCATGAGGCCCTGGCTGAACGATCCCCACAAAGACACTTAAGAAGTGTTGATTTAAAGTTACCTGTAACGTCTGTTCTGTTACCAATCTCATTTCGCTGAGCAGCAGTATTGTCTGGTCCACTAGGTTACATTATGACAGCTGGTGTGATAAGAGAGGCAAACTTCACCTGGCGCCAAAGTGACAAAGGTCGCGGGCTGAAACACCCAGAAACACAAGACAAACTGTGAAGTCTCTTCTTGTTGTGGAATTAAACCAAGGTTCCGAGTGTGACCACAGTTCTGTGAATCGGGATTCACACTGGATATCCTCCGTCTCCTGCAGGCCCAGTGAGGTCACCTGTGACCATTTGAATGATTTTGGGGCCATAATCGCAGAACTTGTGACAGCCCCACCGTCTCAGGGCTACAGGCGTCTAGCTTAGCACACAATAGCAATCCCGTGTCTGCTAGCACGCTAGCAGCCGGGAGGAGATGAAGAGGGGCTGCTCTCAGGATGACACACCAATTTAAACAGCGTGGAGGTCATCAAAGGTCACAAGCGACTTTGTTAACAAATGTGTTGAGGGATGACCGGAGAGAGAGAGTGTGTGTGTGTGTGTGTCTGCTACATGTTACATGTCAAAGGGTCCCTGAGCGAGACACCTCACTGCTCCCCGATACCGTCGTCCTTCTCAAACACTGGGCGGATCTCCAGTGAAACGCTGCCTCTGCTCAGCGAGGACGGAATAGAACCTGAGACAATAGTTACAATGAAGCCATGACGACCTGATTCTAACTGCTCGTTATAAGCACATCACAGCCCGACAGGCTGAGGGAGCAACACTGTGGCCTCCTCTCCTCCTCTCTCCTCCTCCCTCTCTCCTCCTCTCTCCTCCTCCCTCTCTCCTCCTCTCTCCTCCTCTCCTCTCTCCTCCTCCCCTCCTCCTCCTCCCTCCTCCTCCCCTCCCTCTACTCCTCTCTCCTCCTCCCCTCTTTCCTCCCCTCCTCCTCTCTCTCCGCCCCTCTCCTCCTCTCTCTCCTCTCCTCCTCTCTCCTCCTCTCTCCTCCTCCCCTCTCTCCTCCCCTCCTCCTCTCTCTCTCCGCCCCTCTCCTCCTCTCCTCCTCTCTCTCCTCTCCTCCTCTCTCTCCTCTCCTCTCCTCCTCTCTCCTCCTCTCTCCTCCTCCCCTCTCTCCTCCCCTCCTCCTCTCTCTCCGCCCCTCTCCTCCTCTCTCTCCTCTCCTCCTCTCTCCTCCTCTCTCCTCCTCCCCTCTCTCCTCCCCTCCTCCCCCCTCTCCTCCTCTCTCTCCTCCCCTCCTCCTCTCTCTCCTCTCCTCCCCTCCTCCTCTCTCTCCGCCCCCTCCTCTCCTCCCCTCCTCCTCTCTCTCCGCCCCTCTCCTCCTCTCTCTCCTTCTCCTCCTCTCCTCCTCCTCTCTCCTCCCCCTCTCTCCTCCTCTCTCCCCTCCCCTCTCCTCCTCCCTCCTCCTCTCCCCTCCCCTCCCCCCCTCTACTCCTCTCTCCTCCCCTCTCTCCTCCCCTCCCCTCCCCTCTACTCCTCTCTCCCTCCTCTCTCCCCTCCCCTCTCCTCCTCTCTCCTCCCCCTCCGCCCCTCCCCTCTACTCCTCTCTCCTCCCCGCTCTCCTCCCCTCTACTCCTCTCTCCTCCTCTCTCCCCTCCCCTCTCCTCCTCTCTCCCCTCCCTCTCCCCTCTCTCCTCCTCTCTCTCCTCCTCTCATCCTCAAACAGTTGCTTAGTCTTGGAGGCATCTGTCCAGAGCACCATTTATGGCGGGTGAATCCATCGCCCACCTCTCCCTCCCTCCCTCCCTCCCTCCCTCCCTCCGTCCCTCCCTCCCTCTCTAAATATTTGGGGCATTAGTTGCCGAGTGATCGGCTCTAACTAGCAGCACTGAGCTGTTGTCTGGCGGCCCGATCAGAGAGGATGACAGTCGGGCTCAGCTAAGCCTCAGCAGACACTGCTACTACACTACTGAGCGTTCTCTCACTCGGGACGGTTTAGGTGAATTATTATTCCAAATAGTAACAGGACCCGACTGACTCCTCTTGAAGCCCCACACCAGTCGTCTCAGGCCTTCCGGTAGCCGGACCTTCACCGCTCCATTTCCAGTTCTGCCTCTCTTGCCCCGTTTCCCAAACCCCCGTTTCAAAATTCTCCCCGGCCCCTCAGATTTGTGCCAGACGCCTGAGCAGGAATGCAGCGGGGCAGCATAGCCGGCATGGTCATCTGAGGCCCACAGGAACGTCCGCGCACAGCAGGGTGTCACCGGCACCGGGCGGCTCGGCCCAGGCAGACGTGTGTGAACCTGAGCGACGAAGACGCAGCACCCACCAGCATGAAATCACACATCCAGTACACGAGAGGGAGAGAGCTGCGCGCTGAAACACAACTCGGGGTCGGATTCAATCTTGGCCTTCATCGAACCCCAGAGTGACGCACAATCACCACCGAAGAAGAATGCGAGGCAGCTGTATGATGAGGAGAAACAGTAATGCGGCGTGTCTTTGCTTGACTGAGAGCATTCAGCTTTACAGCACAGCCAACAGTGGCAACACACATAACAAAGTAGAAGCGTGTGTGGAAACACTGCTGTATGATCTGCTGTATTCAGTTAAAGGGCAGCAGATCATATTTGTGCGTTTGCTCTAGATTCAGGCTGCTGCTATCGCTAATGTCCTCTGCTACATTATGATTTATTATATTATTTATTGCCTAAAATCATTTTTAATTCATGCTCTCAATCTCTACTTTCAAGTCCTACATGTACATGTTTCCGCTGTGTAACACTTGATGACATAAAGACTCTTATTCCGGGTTCAGGCTCAAGTCATTCCACATTTGCAGAGTCACGTGAGAGTGAAAGGTGCACAGAGGTGGCGGAGGGCAGTGATTTGGCCTCAAACAGAATGCAAATGGTTACACTGAAAGCGTCGTCCTTTTTGGCCAGAGAGGGGAGAGGAGGAGCAGCTGTGTGAAGCCGGCCCACCCCCAGACACGGCCTCGTTCAGCAGCCCTACCTTGAAGTTGCTGGAGTTGATCCAGGAGCTGCCGATGCCGTCCACCATCTTGTCCAGTGCGGTCTGATCCTGCTCCAAGTCGTGGGACTTCTCCTCGTCCAGGAAGTAGTCAATGATCTCCTGGCCCACCTGCAGCCGGCGGCCCATGTCCTTCTGCAGGACCTGGGCCAGGCAGCTCTCCATGCTGGGCTCCATCGTCCTGGCTTCTGATGACCGCCCACTTCCTCGGCCCCCCTGTCCGAACGAGCGGCCGGCTGCTAGCAACGGCCCACTGCTGAGAGCAGTTAATGAGGGTCTGTCTGGGTGACCTGGAAAAGGGGCGGAATGGGGGGGAGAGGAAGAAGGACAGTGTACTCAGTCGGCTTGTATTTTTAACCCCCGAGGAGAGGACTTGTGCCTAGCGAGCTTGTGGCCGAGCCCTGGGGATGGATGGAGCCGGGCTTGGGGAATGGCGGCAATGCAGCATGTGTGTGTCTGGACAGCAGCTGGGGATAGTTTACTACTCCCTCCCACTCGGGAGGCTTTTTTTTCCTTCCAGTCTGGGCCGAACCACTCCAGCAGGGGCAGGAGGGGCGGTGTTGGCGAGCAGCGAGCAGATGGATGATGGAGAGGGCTAGCTTAGAGCGTCAGGTCGTGTCCCGGGACCTGCCCTGGAGAACCCTAAAGGAGCAGACAGCAGCCGTCAATCACCGGCGACATCCTCGATTCACGCTGCAGCATCAACATTTATCTCCCGGAACCAACTTCAGACCTCAGTCAAAAGAAAGTGGTTTGCCTCATAAAAACAACACAGTTAATATATCCGCTTTTAGCAGAGGAGATCCGAATAGTAATTATACTTTTATTTTCACTATGGATTCATCTGGTGATTATTTTTGTTAATCGTCTGCTGTTCTGAAAGTAATAGAAAAATACCTTTGAGTTCTCAGCTGAACCTGAAATAATGTGCATGTTGAAAAGCAAAATTGATGTTTGATCAAAATACTATCAAGTATTTTACTAACAGCTCCAGCGTTCTTGACAGAAGAGTCAGTTTTGAAGGGCTGATGTTTGATCAACAGATTTGTTTTCACATAGGAGTGAGATATCTAACCATCACATGAAGGTGTAATGTCCCCCACACACACACACACACACACACACACACACAGCTGCCCCGGGAACCAGGGGCCAAGAGGGGTTTGCTTCAGCAGCAAGTCCACATAACAAACGACAATCACTGCGGTAAAAGTTCCAACTGCTGGATCATTTGCTGAGCGCACTTCTTCCCTCCGAACCACCACGAGCTTTTGTGTAACGGGATACGAGCCGCTGCTGCGGGAGGGACACTATGAGAACATCGTCCTACTTTTTAATCCAATCATGTTGTCGAAGCATTAAATAATGGTTAGTTAATAAGTTTCCTGCAAAAACGGTTGCTAATTTGAGTTTATTTAGACAAGACGGCCCAGATAGTCCTGCTTGTTGTGGGTGCAGTGATGCATCTGATGAAATGTGCCTTGGTCGGGCCTTTCCAATCCATTCACTGTGACAGACCTGTTCTACAGAAACACAGTGAGGCATGTGAGTGTTTGGGGTCATTTGTCTCCTATTAGGTGTCCTTCTTGGATCATATCAATTTTATTTTTCTATTTAAAAATGCCCATTTGCTTAATATTGCTAATACATCTGTTCTATGTGTATATAGATGAATACCTACTTACACAAACATTAATATACAATAAATTATATAGGAAACAGATCAAACATTCTACCCTAAAGAAGCAATAGAAGCGTGAGTGTTTACGTCTGAAAGTAATAATGCATGAGGTCTAATTACGGTGCTCTTCAATCTGACTTGGTTATATGCAGTATTTCCTTTGGTCACAGTAACATTAGATCGTTCCATAGATTACACAAGTACATTTGCGCAGCTCCCCTGACCTTTGACCCCGCCTCTCATCGTGGCCGCATACGTTCGCTCAGTGTGTTTTTTTTACATTAGCTCGCGCGTCCCCGCTAGCTTCGGCCTCTGACGGCTCGCGTCCCCGAGCAGCTCCGCGGAGCTCTCCGTGTGACGTAGCTCACCCGCCGCGGCGCTCCGCGTCCCTCCTCCCCGCAGTGCCGCCCGCGGCCCCGCTGGGTGGGTCTCTGGGTGGAGGCTAAAGCTAGCCGCTAGCGGAGCGCTGCCTTCAGTGAGGCTCCAGGGCAGCAGCCAGCACAAAGAGGCGGCGGTGCGAACCGGGAGGCGCAGCGCCGGAGCCCGCGGTGCTACTCACCATATCCCGCCCACGCGCCGCGGCTGCTCCGGACCTTTGGCTCGCGTTTCTCGGTCTAAAATGCGCCGTGTTCGGCCTGGAACCTCGTCCGCCTTTCTCTTTCTCTCGCTCCCTCTCCACCCGGAATGCTGCCTGCGGGACAAGAATGGGATCGTCGTGCGCATGCGCCGCCGATCCAGGGATGATGTTGGCACTTGGAAAACTGTCGCATGGCAATGAAGAAAAAAAAAACAGAAGGTGCGTTTCTCGCAGAGGAGCGTGGTCCTCGAGCGACATCTAGTGGACACTCATTGTCCCCCCGTCCGTCTGACTAAATGTGGACACCCGCATACGAGTCTACTCCATTAATGTAATTTAGGCCTGGCCAATACAATTTAATTTTATTAATGTAAAGCAGTAACATACAGAATCGACCATTCATACTCAATAGGGGTCAAAGCGACAATTATTAATGCAAACACATTGTGGGACTGGTGGCAGACATTAACGGACAACAAGCTGTGTGGGAAAAAAACAAACCAACAACAAAACTGTACGCTCACATTATTTATTTTGAATACTCATAGTTTATATAATACAAATTTAACCCACGCTTTCAGACAAGTGTGCGTAACGAAAGAAAGATGCCGCTTTGCATCGCCATTGACGGCGCTGCGTGGCAGAGGAAGCTGCCTGCTCCATGAACAACATACATATTTGTCAAAGAAGTCCAGTCAGAACTGGGCCTTGCTCGGGCTGATGGTTTCACGAGCTCCACTCACTGGTACTCACTACTGTAGTACCCACAGTTATGGTGGAAACGTTCACGGGGAGTCTTCCTCAGATGTAGTGGGACTTCCACACTGAAAGACGCACTGGGAGTTCCAACAGTTCAAAGACGAGCCTGGCGCGTGCCGCTGTACGGCGACCCGAGAGACCGGAAACACAGCGGGGACGTTCACTCCGCGGCTTCCTCGCTCTCCTCGCCATCAGCCACCGCACCATCCTCTTCCTCCTCCTCCTCTGAGGAGGAGTGCTCTTCATCTTTCACCACAGACGGCATCCTGAGGATAATTTCATCATCACCATCGTCATCGACGACCGTGGACTTCCTCCTCTCCAGGACGGAGGGGGTGCAGATCGGCGTGACGTCCTGAAACGGATGCAGAGGAGCGCGTTAGCCACGCGGCTTGGTTTGAGTCAAGAACAGTTGCAGTGATACGAAACAGGAAACAAAGACAAAGCAGTCGCTTCTACAATACTGGAAAGGTTTGCATGCGTACGAGTACGGGCGATATGATTGATGAAACAACCACAGTAGTAACAATAAGGATGCAGAGTTCACACAGTGTAGGTACATGGGTTTTATCACGCAGCCACCAGGAGACACACGCAATAAGCTTAATGCACCACGGTGCTGTGGGCACAGATATCTGACCCCAGGTCACGGGTTCACCTGGGCTTATTTTCAATCTGGGCCAAAGGGTCAATAGGATACAATACAGTGTTGCCTTACATCACTACACATAGACGCATCTGTGGAATCAGAGGACTTTGTCTTCTTGGGCAGCTGGGCGGCCTGGAAACGCAAACACAACACTAAAGTTAAATAGACACTAATAGAACGGCTTCTCAATGTTCAACACTTGAGGGGTTCATCTTTTTAATGGCTCAGATAAACACTGTCGAGTCATCCTCTCCGTCTCAGAGCACTTACAAATCCTGCAAAGTCGTAGTCGATGCCGTGTGCTGCCAGTCTCTTGCGGAGCTTGGCTTCCTTCTTCAGGAGTTTGTCCTTCATCTTGGTCACCTGCTCCGCCGTGTGGCTCTTGTTGTAGCGCGCCACGGCGGGAAACGCAGGCTTTTTAAACGTCTTCTCCGAGCCCACAAACAGCTTCTCGTGCACGTTCTCCGGGGCCACGATGTGACCTGGCAGGCGAGAGGGGGACACATTAGTGGGTAACGCCACTCATCGGGGGAGTAGAAGGGTAAAAAAAAACTCCTCACTAGAATCCTCTCCATCCGTTCCATTAGCATCATACCGGTAACGGAGCCATACTCACATTTGATGAGTCTCTCTCCCATCAGGTAATTGTTCATGGTCTCTGCCACTATTTTGGCAACTTCGTCACAGTCGAACTCTACAAACGCATATCCTTTGGTGCCACCTGTCTGAGACAGACGCAGAAGGAAAAAGGATGAGCATCGAATAGTTTAGAATGCATTTCATTAAGCTAGAGATCATCTACCAGGCTCAAATTGTGATGAAATCACATACTGAAGGATAAACACATGGCATCATACAACTGCTACTTTGGAATATAACCTGTTACATCAAAAGGATGAAAGTATTTTTTTTACATGCCTCCAATTGTCATTGATCATTTTCCACCAATTTTATTATTTCTTTTGACTATTTAGTTCTTAGCAGATGACATGTGGGGCTTTTGTCGGCACATGGGTTTGATCGCTCTGCCAACGTGTGAGCAGGCGATGAGCTAAATGTACCACAATACTTTAGGCTCAGGAGTCTGACCTCAGACCACCGACACGTCTGAGATCATTTTCAGTCTGAGCCAAACCGTGTGTGTGGGGGGGGGGTCAAGGCTGTAAGCGCCCCGTGGGGACACGTCACCACGCCTCATGCTGCTACCTTCTTGCTCCTGGACAGCCGCACCCGCAGGACTTTCCCAAACTGCTCAAAGTAAGACTTGAGCTGCGGCTCAAACAGCCCGTGTGGAAGGTGAGCCACGTACACCACTCCGGGGGCCAAATGCCCCCCCTGGCGGGGGAAGACACACAACACGTTACACACACACGACCAAACACGTGTACTTTGGAATGAAAAGAAACTAGTCTCGCTGAATCTGATTGACGGGGGTCACGTGGTCACGGCGTTGCGTTCACGGGCCTCGGCTATTCTCCCCTTGACAAAAACAGCCTACTAGATCCATTCATAAGCCCGGGAGTGTCCATTAGCGCAACATGCGTGGTCTTCCGTGTGTATAAAGATGATTAAATGGAGAGAGAATTGTGGATGTCGGACTCACGGCGAATACGCGGCTGGAATAGGAACTCTGAAGTTAGTCACAATTTAAACATCTTGCTCTTGGATCGCAGATGTTTAAATAACCACGTTGCCGGTGCGAAGGAGAAGCACGTGTTCCGTTTACGTAACCGCCATGTGTTCGGTAAACTGACTGCTAACGTTTAACTCAAGAGCCCTCACACGTCTAATAAGGGCGACGAAGTCCTCCGGGCGGAATAAAGCGAATCAGCGGGTCACGTCGGGTTCCGGAGGAAGAAAAGCCCCTCGTGTTGGCGGCTGCGTGGCTCCTTCAGGCCCCTGATTTCTCCACTGGTTCCGCTCGACTTTACCTTGATGGATTGGTCCCTCTTCGCCTCCTGCACCTTCTTCTTGAACTCGGACTCTTGTTTGGGGTTCAGAGCCAGAAGCTCTTTGGCCCGATGAGGAGCCGCGTCGGCTTTGCTTTCAGTCATCTCGATTAAAGATGCCGAGACATAAATGGTGGCGTAAAAACAACGGCGTCACTCGACTCGCTGCGCAGCACGCTGGTCTCTTCTTCCGGCGGCCCTCGTGGTGACGGTGCCGGGAGGCGGCGCCGCGGCGCTGCTGCAGACACAGCGCCGCCTGTCGGCACGGAGGAGTAACTGCACGCAGTAGCGTTGGTCATTTCTGCATTAAATAAACTAAAATGTGATAAACTATTACCACCTTTTTATGAGATATGATGTTTTCTGCATACGGAAGTCTGTGGCCTATACTGTATTATCACATTCATGCACAATTGCACAACATTCAATTTTATTAGTTCTTTTAATTAATTCTCATTGTTATTTTTATTCCACTCTCTTATATTAAACAGCTCTTAACACTATTACAATATTTTTGCACGAACCACAAATCATGGACGCTATGATATTCATAAGATTTAGATATCCATTTCGTAATCAATATAATTAGTTCTATAAATTCTCGTGAATTTATTTTTATTCCATTCTCTTATATTCCACAGCTCTTAATATTGCTTGTTGTAACTTATATATAAAGTTAGAATTAATTCAAGGCACACAACTTTTAAATATAATCACTAGATACTAGTTTACAATTATTATTGGAATAATTATAGTCACACAAGAATCAATATTGTGGTGTTTTAACAAAAAGATCAAAGATATTACTTTGAATGAATCAACCTCTGATGTGTGTTGTGGTACAAAAGAAGGAGAGGAGAAGGAGGAGCCAGGAGGAGCTGGAGAGAATAAAAACGAGGGGGACGAGTGTTCACCAGTGAAACAATGAGACCAGACGGACTTTAGATCCAGATCACCATCGCACACGACAACAGCTCTGAATTCACGACATGGCAACTAAAATCCTCTACTTCACCGTGAACGGGAGACCGGAGAAGGCTGAGTTCCCCGTGGGTTGCCCTGCCGAGGATGTCAAAGGTAGCAGCAAATGACGTCACTACTTTAAATTCTCTTATTTGTTTTAGAAAAGTAGTTTAAGGGACGTCACATATCGTTTTAAAACAAATACATTAGAAAATGATATTCATGAAAAAAGGTTTTGTGTGTGTGTCATTTTCACCAAGACTTCACACTTACACAAATATAATGTGAATGTCTGACATTTTTTTTATGGATTCTCAAGTTAAATATTATTAACAGATTGAATGACTTCCAGCTTCTGCTGCTGCCTTTAATTGACCAATCTTTTAATGTCTTTTTTATCCTTTTAATGACTGTTTTTATATTTTGTTTCTATGTATCAATGTTCTTACCTGATTATAAATCTCCTTGCTTTATGTTTGGATGCTTTTAATGGTTTTAGCACTTTGAATTGCCTTGTTGTTCAAATGTGCTATACAAATAAAATTGCCTTGCCTATTGTTTTCTTGATCATACCATCTTGATCAGGCCATGGATCGAAAGCGGTGAGTCACTGGAGGAGCAGGTGAAACACTTGTCTAATGGTTAAGGGCGGTTGTGTGAGCGTCCGTCGTACAGCTGCCACCGACAGCTCCTCCTTTAAACGCGCCACGCAAAGTGCTTTAATAAATCAGGGATCCCTCATTGACCAATAAATGATCACTTAAGGACCTCTTGCTAGCTTCTCCCAGGGTTCCCCGATGAAGAAAAGAGCTCATCCCTCCGTTTCAGATCTGTTCCGCTCTGCGGCCGAGGCCGGGCCTCATGACATCCTGAAGCTGTACAACCCCAAAGGCAACATCATCAACATCTCCCCCAGTCTGGAGCCCAACGGCCCAAACGCCTTCTACAAGCTGGAGGTGGTGGCCGCCGACCGCAACAGTGAGACGTTAGGTATCTGTAGCGCTTTGCATCATGGGAAGGCAGTGCCTGCGCTCACTCGGAGCTTGTTAACAAACTCCCTCTTTTCTTGTGAATTCAGGTGCAGGACTTGCGGGGGCACTTGGATTTGACCTCTCCTCCATGGAGAAAAGGTAGGCCATACCAACATACGGGTATCCTCCTCTGGATGAACATCAGGGCGACAAAGGTAGTCAGAGGTTTGTGTGTAGTAGATGTGGTGTTTAGCTGCCACAGTGCCAGATGAACCAAGCAGCACTTTGAGACCTCAAACCATGATGACTGAACTCCTCGCTGATGGTGTGTGATGGTGTGTGATGTTGTGTGATGGTGTGTGATGGTGTGTGATGGTGTGTGATGTGTGTGATGGTGTGTGGTCTCAGACTGCAGGGCCTGGAGAAGAGAATCCTGATCGAGGCCTGTGAGACGCCTGCAGTTGTGCACGAGATGAAGAAACAGGTGGATTCATTCCAGGAGAAACTAGAGGTGCAATACGCAGTGACTTCTGCATGGGAAGATTTCACATCTTCATCAGAAGAATAACTGTTCGATACATACTGTTGGATCAGTTTAGTAACATTTTTATGTATTTTTTACCGACTGTGTAAGAAGTTGATGTATCTACCAAGATGTCCCCAATTGGTTCCAGACCATTTTGTCCACAGACATCTTGGTTCTTGGTTCTTTTATTTTTTTAGTAACAAATAATGACACAAGACGGTGGAGCTTTTTCCAACCGAACGCTGAAAAAGAAACATTTTAAGGTGACCAAGGTGTTACAATTAACCCTCATAAACTAAAGAACACTTTAGGTTTATAGTTTAACACAAAAACATCCATCTGCCAGTGACAGCGACCTGTCAATCATCTGTCGCTGCTGGAAGGTGGATGCTCTCGCCTCCGGTATTCACCCCGTCCCCCTTTCAGAGTGTGGAGCATCTGAGCTGGCTGGGGTTGTTTAAAGACCTGTCCGAGGGAACGCACAAGCCCTCCCCCTTCTACCACAAGAGAACCCTACACAAAACCAGGAAGGAGTGCGAGCACGTCCGGGAGAAATTTCTACAAATGAGGCAAATTCACTGAAAACTACACTGCCCTCCATACATCACACATTCAGGTATGTAGTAACTATTAATGCTGACGCGTTGTCCCCACTGCAGCTCCCTGCAGGTGTCCGAGGAGGTGAGGCAGTACTTAAAGACGCCGACCTTTGACAACTGGTGAGTACCGAGGGCGCCAGCGTGAAGCCGCGGCATCAGGTTGACGCGGCTGTGCGAACGAGCGGTTCCCCTCAGCGAGACGCCAACCGCAGTCGCGCCCACAAACGCCTCATCTGCACTTCTGAAGACGGGGGACGTCACCCGCTCATCTCAATGTGAATAGGCCCGCCGAGGGCTGGCGAAATCAAAAGGTCTTTGTGAAAGGCCTCAGCGTTCGTTTGAAGTGGGCTCCATGGGGAGGGAGCGAGGCCTGCTCGTGGTTTTACGTGGCCAGAAGAGCTCTCAACGCAGACGCACAACGGTGGCGCAGGATGTCGCCGCGGCCACGGGCAGGCTGCAGGACGACAGGTGGAGCTGGGAGCCCCTAGTCGTCTGAAAGGCTTTTTAAATACTGGTCATGTAGCGCGAGGCTGGCATTATTCTGTGCTTCTGTTGGTGTCAAAAGATGTGAGAAATATATTATGTATTTCAGTATTATCAAAAGATATCATTACATCTTCATAAAGGCTCGACAACTTGCTGAAACAGCTGGGCACGGAGGAACAAGTGGCTTCTGGCTTTGAATGAACGATACTTGTTTGTAGAACATTTCCTGCCCTTTGTAGCAGAGGCCAATACGGCGCCTATATATCTACGCCCTATTGCCGGGGGTTTATATATACGCCGCGTAACCGGATGAACAGTAATGTTACGCTGTTGAGACTAAAATGTTTGAGGTGAATGGTCGGACACGGTTTAGAGGTCTGAGGTGTACACAGGTACACTCCGTTTATCATTACACACGCTAACAAATACTCACAACAGCCATGTGAGTTGTTGACTGATGATGATGATGTGTGGGCTGGTCCTTTTTGTTGACGTTAGCTGCCTGCATGGCGGGCTTTGTGCGTTGTGTGTGTGTGTGTGTGTGTGTGTGTGTGCAGGCAGTGGGAGGACGCTGAGATCATGGTGCTCCTGCAGGTCATGTACACAGATTTAGATTTTATAGCAGCTTTCAACATCGAGCCAGAAGTACTGCAGCAGTTTCTCTTTGAGGTCTACCGAAGATACAACAACATCCCTTTCCACAACTTCAAGCACTGCTTCTGTGTCACCCAGATGGTGAGTGTGTGTGCGCATTGGAGTGATTTGTTTATTCTTGTTTTATTTTCATTTATTTAGGAGTAATAATGTGATTATGAACATTTATAACAGCTGACGATTATTTTCCTCAATAAACATGCACGATGTGGTTTGCTCACAATAACAGTACAAGCTGGTCATGTGTCGTTGTTCCGCTGCCCCCGGTGGACAGAGTCTACCCGTGTACACGGTACTGACATGTGTCTGTGAGCAGATGTATGGTTTGATCTGGCTGACTGACCTGAAGAGCAAGATGGACAGCGTGGACCTGCTGATCATGCTGACCTGTGCCGTCTGCCACGACCTCGACCACACGGGATACAACAACGCCTACCAGGTACCACAGTCACTAAGCCCATGCAGGGAGAGGCAATGTGGCCATTTGGAAAGGTGCACACGGGCCACAACGTAACGATACCCTAACCCAGAATAACAGCTGTGAATGTTGGACCATGTCTGGGGACATTTGCACGTTATGTTCATGTTTGCTTTGCTCTGGGAGACATCAGTCAGCTCCTCGGATGCGACTCGGGCCAGTAGCATCTGCATGTACGTCAGCTGTAAATGGTCATCCGACTCGCTAGAGTGAAAGAAAAGGCAGAAAAACTAAGCTTAACGAGGAACCCAGTTGCCATTTAAACACAATGAGACTTTGTACTGGCTTTTAAACATGCTGCAAATGCTTTTACATTACAACCCTTTAAGAAGGGATATTTCCACAGCTGGTTTTTGACAATCATTCTGACCGATAGATGAATCACAGATATTTCCCAAAACGTGTGCTTGGTAGATTATTTCTGTTGTTACACTGCTTCTTGGATATGAGTTTGATTGTAAAGCCTGTTTGTTCCCCTTCTAAAGGAGCCCCGTTTGCCTTTCTGGGATGACAGGTTGCGCCCTTTAAAAAAGTCCCACATTTTCTCTTCTCAGATAAACGCTCGGACTGAACTCGCCCTCCGCTACAACGACATCTCTCCTCTGGAGAACCACCACTGCGCCGTAGCATTTGAGATCCTAGAGAAGGTAAGGACCTTAGTGCACAGCGTCCCCGTCAGGGTGGGGGTATATGAGCGTGGGGCAGTGACACGGGGCTTTCTCTTGTTGTAGACAGAGAGCAACATCTTCAGAAACCTGTCAACGGACCAGTACAAACGGATACGAGAAGGCATCATCAAGTGAGCTCATTGTTCTTCACGCATGTTCGCTCATGTGACAACAGCACAACCCGATGCCGTGCGTTTGTCGTTCTCATTTCAGGTGCATTCTGGCCACTGATATGACACGGCACAACGAGATTCTCAACAAGTTCAAATGCATCCTGCCGGCTTTTGACTTCACCAACAAGGAGCACAAAGATGTGGTAAGAGGTGACCCAACAGGCGTCTGCAGCAGTGTCTTTCCTTCACCAAAGATCATTTTAGGAATCACCAAATGTGACTACAGCACAATCAGCTGAACAACGACTGTAGAAACCTTTGCCAACAGGAGTAGATTTCCGTGGTAGGAATTCAAAATGAATTAGACATCAAAAGAGAGTTCTTTGGAAAGAGGGTTAAATGTTCTATCCCCGCACACCAGAACCAGGCCGAGGGTTTGAGCAAAACAACCAGTATTTGTTTCTGTACATTGAATCTAACAATGAGATGAATGCAGCACCAAGGCCACACGATGCACACAAGACCCAGAAAGGATGAGAGTGGAATACAAAAAACGATAAGAAAGATTACACACACATACCCGTGACAAATCAGAGACACGGTAAAAGGGCATACGTATAGCATCTCCATGCAATGACCACATGCTATGCTAATGTGATGTAAAACAGCTGCCTCCCAGCTTAAACGGTTCACAAGCAAAGCATTGCATCATCTGGATGTAACAGCATGGATGAATGGACACATTCAAAGGATTTAGCATCATTTCTTGCTTTGGGTGGAGCCGTGCGGCACCGTCACAGAGGTGTCGGCCCTTCACCTCTGGGTTTCTGTCCTGTGGTCGCCCATCTGACTGCTTCCTGTTGTGTGTGCAGCTGATGATGATTCTGATCAAAGTGAGCGACATCTCCAACGAGGCGCGGCCCATGGAGGTGGCCGAGCCCTGGTTGGACTGTCTGCTGCAGGAGTTCTACAACCAGGTAGCCGAGCGCTCTTGTACAGAGAGACTGTGGCAAACAGGCCGATACTCAGAGGATCGTTCACACATTTCATTTTCAGGCAACAACGCTAACTGAAATAAAAGTAACAGAAGCCTGGTTGATGTTTTGCCCGTCTCTCTGCCCGTCCCTCAGAGTGATAAGGAGAAGTTAGAGGGTCTTCCAGTCACCCCCTTCATGGACCGGGACAAAGTCACCAAGCCTTCCTCCCAAACAGGCTTCATCAGATTTGTCCTTTTGCCTCTCTTCATCGAGCTGGCTAACCTCTTCCCCTGCTTGGAGGTAGTGTATTTGAAAAGATACCCAAATGTGTAGATGAAATAAGAGCCGAATTGGACGAGGCTGAGGGGAGGTTTGCTCAATCGGCTGCAATTTGATGGATCCCGCATTCGCTCTGCAGCAACACATCATCGACCCGGTGAGGAAGGCCCTGGATTACTACACGGAGATGGAGAAAGCCCTGGAGAGGGAGAAACAGATCCGGGCTCAGAGTGACAATGCAGCCAAGAGCAAGGAGGCTGTGGGCCCGCCGGGTTCAGCGGAGCCTGAAGCCCTGAGAGCAGACGCTCAGTGAGCTGTGGTGGACGCCACCTTACCAGAAGATTGTGTGGTTTTTTTTACACTTATTTAATGTATTTCAACCATCTAAATGTGTACTTTTATTTGTTTGTGTAGTGGGTAAAGCACAAGTAGTATATGCTGTTCTAGTCCATTTGGGCTCTAATTTAATAGAATGTTGTTGTAATGTCACGTAAGTACAGTGCAACACATTGTCTTGATTTTTTCTAATATATAAGAAGAAAATCTGCATTCTTTTACTCTCGTGGAGGAAGTCCAGACAAAATTGCATTCATTAATACATTAAATATAAAGTATTAAAATCTTTCCTATTGGTTTAGGAAGCAATACCCACACTGGTCATTGGTCATAGTAAAAGTTACTTCCAATGTCCCCACAAGTTGTCCACGTGAAGTCTTTGGCATTACTGCAATTGTGCAACTTTGATATCAAATAAATCTTATACCTTTCAAGCCTGTGTTTCAGTTCCCTGCTGTTTGCCGTAGCAAACATCATTTAGTGTTTATTAGTAAATTACTGCATCCACATGAAAAGCCCTCGATAAATAGAAAAAAATGAAACAGACCAGTAAGGTCAATCAGGGTGTACTGACTTTTTTGTTGTCCTTTCATAACATTATCTCGTTATTACCATTGCTTCTTTTTGCTTCCCGAAAAATAATGTGAATACTACAATCATTATTTGATGTTATCCAAAAGTTTATCTTTAGTCCGTTCTACGCTTTCATGGAAGTTCAAATTTAAATGTTTCCTTTAACGACTGATCTGACTGAACTGGAAAGGAAGGGTCACTCTTTCTTATCTTATCTACAACGCGACGAGTGTATTGGTGTTGCATTTCAAGTGTCTTGGCAAGAAAGAAGAATAGTCCTCTATAAAAGTATATCATCTAAAAACTACACTTTCCGTCTTTCTCTAATGATTTTGTGTAGTAAGTAACTGGATAATCCGGAGGTTTTTAATGAAAATCAACATTGCTTTAGTTACTGTGATATAAAGCAATATAAAAACAGTCAAAAGAGACAGTCTGAGCTCCTCTCTCACATCAGGCATCTTTAGTGAATGGAACGCCGCTAGAGGTCCCTCGATCAAAACAATAACAAAAGACGGACTCTCACGAGGACGGAAAGTAGCGTGGTGCTCTGCTGAAAGAACGTGTCCCGCCTCCTGACTGGACAGCGCGTGTCCCGCCTCCTGACTGGACAGCGCGTGTTCCGCCTCCTGATTGGACGGCGCGTGTCCCGCCTCCTGACTGGACAGCGCGTGTTCCGCCTCCTGATTGGACGGCGCGTGTCCCGCCTCCTGATTGGACGGCGCGTGGCTGACGCCCTTCCAAGAGCAGCCAACCGACAGGACGCCGGTACATACGGGTCATTCACGACCCTGCCCGCTGCTCCTCCGCCACCTTCCCCCGGACAGAGGAGTCTCTCGGCCGCTGGTAGTGTTTATACGTCACGATGGATCCGCTGGTCGCTGCAATTGACCAGGGCACGAGCTCTACGAGGTTTCTGGTGAGTGACGCCAGAGGTTTAACGTGAAATGCTCACACTGTGTTACGTCTTATTTGAACGCACAGCGCTAGCTGGTAGCCAGCAACGAAGTGTTTGACTGAAATAAACGTATTGCAGGTGACAACGATAACTTAATGGGAGTAAGAATAACGCCACTTTAATCACCTTCACGCAGGCTATGTGCTGCTAAGCTAACGTTGAGCCCCTCGCGCTCTCTATTGGTGCTGCATTATCCAGCAGCTGTTAAGTTACATCTGTTAGCAAAACAACAAATGAATACATTCTGTGAAGTAAATGATCAACACATTGCACGCGTTGCTCGGTGCGCCCCCGCTGGTGACCGAGGGCACTGCACCAAAGAGCTGGCGCGGAACCGCTGTGACTTGCGTTACGATGGATGGCTGACGTGGTTTAAAGGAGCTTTACCGTCAGCGCGCAATGACACGACAGCTCTGCCGAAGCGTGCATGACGTCATGGATCATGTTTATCGAGAGCCTCAAAACATGGTCATGCGCGTCAACCGTTATTAAATGCAGAGAAAGAAGAGAAAACACAGTGATACCCTTTTAACTGTAGTATAACATCCGTCTGCAGTACACGTTGTGCATGTGTCACACGTCGTGTCTGTGGAAAGTGACCCGTTACTGTGTTGAAATGTTGTTAACCTCTGAATTAAGTACTGTGCACACCAACCAGGACGCAGTAGTACAAGATGTGTGAGGTAGTATTTTGCATTATGTAGTAAGCAAGCGATGCGCATTTAGGTTGAAGTTCATTAACCCTTTTAAAATGTGTTTTGTCAGATTGTGCCGTTGTTCATTAACCGACAAAGGCCCTCGCCTCCTTAAAATCATCGTTCCTCGTTCTTCCTGTGTGAAGGCCCCAGACGTTACGCTTAAAGTCGCCAACAAGCCGTCAGATTTCTCCACTTGTTGCTTTGTTTTCACGGTTTAGCAAATTGTTAAGTGATCCGTTGTGAATAGAATTGGGCTCCGGTAATTAGGTCAGCCGGAATATTCCGCCCTGGCCCAGAACCCCAGGGCTTGGAAGGACCTCACGCTGCTGGTAGATCATGGAGGCGTCGATGGACTGGCCACGTGATGCCTCAGTAGATCTGCTACACGTTGGGGCGAAGTGTGACCTAAGACAACAGAGTCTTAATAAATCCAAAACACTGGCTGCTGTTACCAACAATTGTGATCGCAGGTCCTGAAAAGATTTTAAATGAAGAAGAAAAAAAGATCTATTGATTATCTGGTCAAAAGGTTTCAAACATCCATAGCAAACACACTGTGGATCTTTTCCTAATTAGTTACCAGCTCTTTGTAGCGACCTTTAACCCTTTGGCGGGCACACTGCCGGAATGCTGATGCGGGGACACCGACGGCTCGGACAATGTCACCGAGAGGTTAATCTTAAACCCAGCGGGGGCTCTAACTGTAAGCGAGGCTCTCGACTAGAAGCAAACTCTGCTTTGTGAGGGACGCTGCTGAGGATGACTTCTCATGAGTGTGTCCATATATTTAAAGTGCTCTTACACACCAGGTGGAATTTGACTAAATGTATTGGCTGCTCTACAAACCCTGGCAGTGGTCACATGGACGCTCTGATAGCACGCTGGCTAAAAGGATATATGACCTTTTGGGGGTGAGGTCGACAGTAAAGATGCTGCGTTGAATGTGTAACTTGTTGGTTTGAGTATTGAAGGAGATGTTGACTCGGTTCTATGCGGCCCGGTTCTATGCGTCCAGTCGGCGCGGCCCATGACGTGTAAAGAGTTTGACGTGGGCTTGTAGATGTGTACTACTGTTGGACACCAGGGTTCATCCTGTTACCTTATTAGAAGAAGTGCTGACCTGAGCGAATCTGCTGCCTGGCGTCACATCAGACCGGCCTTTAGTGGAGCGCCGTTGCCCCCTGGATGGCGCCCGCAGTAATTCTGCTAATAATAATCACCATCTGCTCTCCTCTCTATGATGTGCCAATCAAGAATAAGACGTGGCGACGCTATTTGCAGTCCCCCTCTCTCCTGCACACCTGGAGTTCTGTTAACGGTTTTATTCCCTCATTCATTCCATTTCTCCGCAGGTGTTCAATGCAAAAACCGCTGAGCTGGTGAGTCACCACCAAGTGGAGATCCAGCAGAGCTTCCCCAAGGAGGGGTGAGTGCTTTGAGAATAAACTGGTGTATTTCCCCTCACAGCAGGGAGACGCTGTCACACGGTTGAACCTCATAGATCTGCAGTTTAGTAGAGTAGCAGCTCTAGGTGACATTAACAGAAGATTCCTAGATGTTGGGCTGCTTCAAACAAACCAAACGATGTTCTCCTGCTACTGATTGTCCAAAGAGTAAATACTGCACAGTCAGCGTTTGAGGTATTTGTTAAACATCCGTTGTCCAGGAAGTCCTAAAAGTAGCCTTGACTGATAAATTGAAAGGTTTAGTAGTAAATCAATGTCCCAGGCGGTGAGTCTTCAGTCTGCTGGGTTACTGAGGTTACGAAGTGCTTTTAGATCTTTTACTTGATCTGACGTGTGCGACATAGTGAGTCTAATGTGCAGCATTTATTGTTCCGTAGTGGATCGTTGATACGCAGTCAGATGTTAATGTTATTTCCAATGATCGACGCCCTGTCCAAAGTACCACGGGCCACATATTTGGTGCAGCTGGTTCCAGACCAGCTCCGTAACATTATGGGATGTGTAAACGGTAGACTGCATATTCCAACGCTCAACCTTCCAATTTAGCGAATCTGACTCTTTTATAGAAATAAGAACTGTGAATACTTCAGTTTATACGTATTCTGAAGCACCAGGGGTCATTTCAGGTCACTTTGAAAGGTTACATCAGCCAGAGGAGCAGCTGTTTACTTAAACTCATTCTCAGAAAGCCACAGTAACTCGTCCTCTATATGAGGGACCACTCCAGAATAAATGTGCAGAACAGACCCTGAATTCAAAGAATAGGTTGCTAAAGGCCTATCGAAGCCCTTGTTTCATCTTCAGTGCTGTCTTTAGTGTGGACAGCCTCCTCTAAAACGTGGGAAATGCTTCCCCATTATCAGACACTTCACATGCTCTCCGTTCCACACCGAGGAGGCGGTTCACTTCGGGAGGATGGTTGAAATCAGTATTAAGGAATCAACATCGTAGAATCCCCCCCTGATTGGCGGGACAATCAGTTTTAAGCGGTTTTGGTTCAACTATGTACTTCTGGCGGGGAGGAAAAGCCTGTTGACGTGTTGTTCGGGTAAAGTTATGTAATCCAAAGTTTTAGTGAATAATGGAGGGGAGAGTGTCTGTCCGCCTGGCCAACTTTCAGCAGCTCGACCTGTGCAGCACGCACATTTAAAGTGGAACTACGGGGGTTGCATAAGAGCACAGGGCATGAAAGATGGGGATTCACTCCTTCACTGTGGGGGCCATTCACTTGTTCCGCACGGACAGATGCGTTTATACCGTCTCGTAATGAAATGTTACCCGTCCCAATGCATGCGCAGTTACTTTTCTGAAGTCATTATAAAACGCAGCGCCCTGTGGGTGCCATGGCGACCGGTATGTGGCTCACGGGCTGCTCTGTGTGGTGCACGCTAACGGTACCCCACCAACGCAGCACCCTCTCTCACTACTACTCTGTTGTGTGTGTTTGGACCAGCTGGGTGGAGGAGGACCCCAAGGAGATCATGCAGTCGGTGTACGAGTGCATGGAGAGGACTTGTGAGAAACTCCAGCAGCTCGACATCGACCTGTCCAACATAAAAGGTGTGGACGACAGCGTTAGCTCCACCCGCGTCTGCAGCTGCACCAGTTTTTCCTGACAAACGCGTTGTTGCTGGATTTCTTTCAGCGGTGGGGGTGACGAATCAGAGAGAGACGACGCTGGTTTGGGACAAGGAGACTGGGGAGCCACTCTACAACGCCATAGGTGGGTGCATTCAGTGAATCAGTGGCCACTATTCTCCTTCACATACACATTTCATGTTTACCATTAAGAACTTTGTAAGGAAAAAACATAGGAATTAAAAGCGGAACAGTCCTGAGATGAAGAAATCCAATATGTCCTTAACGTGACCCAGTGAATCTGTGAACATGAGCTGCTCTCACTCGGGACCACAGCGGGGACGTCACTGACATGTGATGGCATCAAGTGAGCTCGGTTCCACTGCAGTGATGGAACGGAAACTGAACCCCACACTCAGACCCTCCCCTGTGTTCCCTGGTCATTGTCTGTGCAGCGGCCGCACACGGCCCACTTGATGAGATCACACATTTGAGTTTGGGGAATTGTGATAGTTGTTCACGTTCACTAATATATTGTGGACACATGTCCTTGACCTGCTCGCTGCCTTCGCCTTCATCACCGTTTTATAGTGTTGTATTGGGGGGGCGGGGACACAAACAGACACACGTGAGCACGCTCCCACCAGCGTTGGAAAATGCGTCCGACCGCCAGCCTATTTGTGTAAAGATTCCCTTTGCTGCAGCGTCTCTGGTTACGCGCTGCCGAAGCGTCGCACTGAACAGTCCGTCCTTCCCTGAGCAGACCCCAAGATGATGTCCTCTAGGAGACAATGACACGTGGGATTAGGTTGCACCAGACGTAGTGTCTCACGTTGTGTCACTGTCCTCGTGCTCGGCCGTTCCTCAGGGGGCCCTGCTGGGCACCGCGAGAGATCTCAGGACTCCTTCTGCCCAGCGTTGGTTTGTAGGGAGCTGAGATGGTGAGATGATGGAATGGGTTCCGTGTGTGTGCGCTTTCGTCTCGCTGACTCCTTTAGCGCTGCCAGCCTCGGATGCCACACATGTTACTGGAGTTTTTAGTCTTCATGATTGCTGGATATCGAGCCCTGACCCACTGAAGTGGTGCTGCTGGTCTCTGGAGGCTTTACAGCTGCAGGCTGTGGATTCCAGCTCGAGGCACAGAATTCAGGTTCTATTGAGATCCAAGTAGAAACCTCAACGATAACCTCAAATTAGAAAATACAGATTCATTTTAAACAAAAAAGTATAGGGAATAAAAAAAAACTAAATGAAATGTTCTTATTTATTATTGAATCTCTAATTAAAGTTTATTGCGGCCATAGAAAACCAGTTGACCTTTAAAATCATTACAACTTTCTAAAGGGCAAGTTAACATTAATTAATCAGGTATGTATTTACCTCCAAACTGTAATTCAGTGTCATACACACGAAGTCTAAATGATAGAAAATGTTCATTTGACTCTGAAGCTGATTCTTGTGATCTCTCATCTTTACACTTTGGAATTTTCCCTCATTAGATCTTTAAAAATGATTCAAGCAGCACATTTTGAGCAGATAAATGTCACTTTAACTGTTGACTTTAACATACTGAGGCCAAGGGGTGGCATGTGTATCTGCTGGTGCTCTGCTGCTGAGCCGTTTCATGTCTGGACTAAGTGTTGAATCCGTACTCGTCTGCTTCATCTGTAGTCTGGCTGGACCTGCGCACACAGTCCACAGTGGAGAGTCTCATCAACAAAGCTCCGGGTCAGAACAAGAACCACCTCAAGGTGAGCGAGCGGGATGATGTGGGAGCATTAGCTCCAGGTCCGGGCTTTTCCGTAGCTGAGCCCCGCGACGGCCGCGCCTCTTCTACCCAACGCGGAGCTCTAACCCGCCTTGCTATCGCTGTCCCTCTCCAGCCCAAGACGGGCCTCCCCATCAGCCCCTACTTCAGCGCCGTGAAGCTGCGCTGGCTGCTGGACAACGTGGAGGAGGTGCGCCTGGCCGTGCGCAGTCAGAGAGCCATGTTTGGCACCGTGGACTCCTGGATCATCTGGGTGAGACAACGGCCCCGTTTCTTGTGGTTGACAGCGGAGCGGCTCGGGAGAGGAGCCTGTTCTACTGTCCTGTGTTCTACCTGAGGTGTAAATCAAGACACGCGAGACCACTGGCCCCCTTTGTACACACTCGCTCCTGTTGGTGTTTCCCCTCAGTGCCTGACGGGGGGCCAGAACGGGGGGGTGCACTGCACAGACGTCTCCAACGCCAGTCGCACCATGCTCTTCAACATTCACAGCCTGGACTGGGATCCGGAGCTCTGCAGGTACACTGACCCCCGACCCCCCCCACCCCCCAGTGTGTGACTTACAGAACGTACTTCTCATCGTCTGTTGTGTTCATGACACGCGGCGTCCTGACTGCCGGCTGCTTCCAGGTACTTTGACATCCCGATGGAAATCCTCCCCGAAGTCCGAAGCTCCTCTGAGATATACGGCGTGATGGTGAGCTGCCTTCGACGCAGGGACACGGCTTGTGTTCTGGACCCGATAACCAGCTGTAAATCTAGATAACCACACCAACTCTATAATCTGCACCAGCATCTTTTTATTGCTGAAATGACCATGGACGCTGATAAGTTCCAGCCAATGTGCTCGTAGAGTTCCACGTGAAGTAGTAAAGGATTTCATGCTAAAAATATTATCAACCTCCGCAACACGATAAGTGTTTTCAAATGAAACCTGCTTCCTGAGAAGTGATTGTTGATGTTGATTTGGTAATAATAATAATGTTCAGTGCATGAGCCGTGCACACAGATAACCGTGTTAGGTTCTCGCATCGAATCAGGAATCAGGAAACATTTATTGTCAGACATACAAGGAGTTTGTCTTGGCGGTTGGTGCGTGACGACAACAACAAAAACAACAAAAAGCGAAGCGCACCGACGCACCGTGGCAGCCATCAACCATCAACGCCATCGTGCTGCATGTTGGATGGTTTTACCGATGCTGCTTTGTTGATTTGCGTTGATTCTTTTCAGCACAATTCCTTATTGTGGCGTCGCTCTGATAGGCGCCGTGATGAGATGGAGCTTCGTGCCACTGGCAGATGGTGTGATGCATTTAAACGACGTGTGTGTTGTGGTGTGTGTCTCTGTTGGTGTGCGCGCTATCTCTACCTGTTTGTTTCAACATCTCCCTCGGCCTGCCGTCCAGAGGTCAGCCATGTACCGGCTGTGTTTGTTTTCCTCCTTTTTATTGGTCTGATCTGCCTTTTGCCCCAGAAAGTAGTTACTGATTGTCCCCCAAAGCCTCCGGTTGCCCTCATGAGCAAGTGGACCGGTAGACCTAGTTTGGCTGCGTTTGCCTCACTGTGAAGTTTTCTCCTGACACATTCAACTCCCCCAAATCCTTTATTGTTGTTGTCAGAATCTGCCGACTTGAGAAGAACCGCTGCACTGTTAACACGAACCACTTTACTAGTGAATTGCGTGGAAACCCGTTGCCTTAAGTTGAGTTAACATAGATGCTGTGGACATATTTAAGTCCCCATTAGTAACCATTACTCCAAATTATTACTTCACTTAAATTAAGTTTAATGAAATAACTATTTTCAGTTCAACATACATAAGCATATTTAAACAAATCACTAATAGAACATGATTTATTGTTATTTATTTATCTTTACTACTTAAGAGCATTAGTTTATTAATGTTTTTACCTCTAATGAAATGAATTATACTATTTGATTTTCAATTCAATGCATTGTCTCAAGAAAATTGTATTGAAAGAAGCAAACTCAACGTTACATTTTAGCATTCTAATGTGTTTTATTCTTTTAAAACATGTTTTGCAAAACATGAAAGTATAAGCAATGATTACTCAAGTTTAATTTGAAATACATCTGGGTTTAGTGTGATCACCCTCCAAAGAGACTCTGTGTGCACTAAATGGTTTTACGACACATCATATCTTCATCGTGTCCCTATTGGCTCATAAACACGTCCTTGGTGTGCATCATATGTTGCATCATGGGGATTTAATGCAATGAATTGGAAATGATTTGCACTGATAATGCATTGAATGGTATTTATTCTTTAGCATTGGATTTTTAAAAGTGTGTGTGTGTGTGTGTGTGTGTGTGTGTGTGTCCCCTTCTTCCAACCAGAAATCCTGCTCTCTGGCAGGGGTCCCCATCTCGGGGGTAAGTATGAGCATGTACTGGTTTAGAGTAGAGCATGATGGTGAATGTTACACATGGCTTCTGTCTGACCACATATATATATATATATATATATATATAAATATTATATGCTTATATTTCAATCCAGTTCTCATATATTTTGTTGTATTTCTTGTTTAAAGTTGCTGCTGTAATTTAATTTAAATGTATGTACAGTTCACTTCATAACATAAATTCAGCCATAACATAAAACATGCCAGAACATTCTCATATTTTATGTTCTTACAAAGTGATTTCCGCTGGGTTATGATTGACAGATGTCTGCTACTGTGAAGAAGGGAGACGCTGTGTTGTTAGTTGTACACATGTGTGCGTCACGGCCCTCTAACTGCGACCGTGTTCCTCTCAGTGTCTCGGCGACCAGTCGGCGGCTCTGGTTGGTCAGATGTGCTTCCAGGAAGGCCAGGCCAAAAACACGTGAGCCTTCTTCATTCTTCTTCTGGAGGTTTTTCTATTAATACTGAAAGGATCCGAACCCTGAAATAAACTCTTGGAAACTGTTTGATCAAAGACAAAGTTACCAGGTAGGGTGAAAGTGGTCTGGTATTGCTGCAAAGAGCCTAAAGTAATATAACAGTCAGAGAAATCGTACTCGACACTGGTTGGAAACATTTACTGTGATCAGGGCTGTCAATAGAAATAACGAAATAACCGATTAATCTCTCATTTTGAAATTTATTATGTTTTTTTTAAAGTCTAAATCTTATAAATTAACAAGTAATCACTTTAGAAAGCCTTTATTTTTTATTTTTTTAAATGTATTTAAACATGTTAATTTATTTTATCGCCCTAATCTCAACCATGTTATAGAACAACGCGTTAACTTTGATAGCACCAATTAAAATACCTGCACGAGGTCTGCGTCTGGTCCTCTGAACTCGTACCCAGTTGCGATGATGTGCGTCCAGCTTTGAGGTCTGAGGAGTTTAAATACACACAAGTTACTGTATGTGCGTCATTCTTTGCTGAGATCCCCGACGCTGTGGCGGCTAGAACTACTGTGACTAAGACAAAACTTTTCCTGATAAAATGTAATCGGATTAAGTCATTAAACTTGTATTAATATAGTAACATATTATTTTTGGAAGAGCACATTTTAATCTGCTTCTAACGCAGTAAATAATTCAATAATTGAACGGAATCGTGAGTATCTTGTAAACGACAGTGTTGGAGGATGTCATCGCTCCCTAAATAATGACTCTTCATATTCCTTCCCCATTGGTGTTGTGTAAAGGTACGGGACCGGCTGCTTCCTGCTCAGAAACACAGGCACCAAGGTAAGATGAGAGGAACTGCTTGGCTCTGACGCTGTGAATGAATCCTATTCTGTATGACGTGTTGTCTTGTGACTCAGCCTCTGATGTCGGACCACGGCCTGCTGACCACCGTCGCCTACAAACTGGGCAAAAACGAGCCCGCCTGCTATGCACTGGAGGTGAGTGAGCACTTCCTGTCCCCCGCTGCGTCCCTCTCTGGCCTGCTGCGCTCATGTGACGTGGGTCTTTCGCTCCTCCCCCAGGGCTCCGTGGCCATTGCAGGAGCGGTGGTGCGGTGGCTGAAGGACAACCTGGGCATCGTGCAGTCTTCTGCAGAGATCGGTACTTACACCGGGGCATCTCGTATATGTGTGTGTGTGTGTGTGTGTATATTAGTGCTGTCAGTCAAATGCGTTATTGACCACTTTAACGCAAACCCATTTTAACAACAATTTAGGATTTATTTTTTTTACCTTTACGTGACCCAACTACTTGATCCTGTTTGAGGGACCGTCCTACAAATGTCACTCAAAACAAATCCAGCACCCCTCCTTCCTCTTAGTAGTAAAATCTCACACCAGCATGACAGCATACCAACATATGATCGTATATTAAATTAATTTACATCAACATGTAAATCATTTTTTTCAGGAAATCATTTCCAAGTACATACGAAATCCTAACCCTTTACGTAAAATGTGCACTTTATAATTTTATTTTGTACCGCCTTGTTTGGCAATGTTGTTTTTCCATAAAATAAAACATTTGCATAAAGCCAATCTACTTTTATATGTTGGTAAGAGCATTAAAATGAAAACAATTATTTAAAAATTATGGAAAAATAAATAAATGAAGGGACATTACTAGATAGATAAAAAGTGAGTTAACTATGACATACATGCGATTAATCGTTTGACAGCACTAATATATATATATATATAAATTCCCTACACATCAAAAATAAATTCTTAATTCCTTAATTCTTAATTCCATATTTGAGTTTGGACATGAACTCTTCCTCCTGTTTTTTCTCAGAGAAGCTGGCAGCTGCAGCCGGCACGTCTTACGGCTGCTACTTTGTGCCGGCCTTCTCCGGCCTCTACGCGCCATACTGGGAGCCCAGTGCACGAGGGTGAGCCGGTCAGCTGTTCACACACACGTCTCAACTGTCGACTGGATCGTGACCCCCAAACAATAGGCTGACTAAAATAATGTAATATGCAATATAAACACAAGGTACTGCTGTTTTCAAACATATTACGATGACCTAACAACCAAGTTACTGCTATGGTGCGTTACGTAATAACACTTAGGTCTTTATTTCTGCTAGCAATCTGCCACTATAATCCTCTTACGACCAGAGATTGAGATGTACTAAAAAGGAATGAATATAAAAAATACAAATACTATGGCGAAAATCAGCTATTTAGATCAGACTTTAATCGGCTCTCATACCTCTCAAAGAGACCAGAGTTGTTTGTTTTATTCTTTCGAGCAGGTTTCCTTGCATCATTTCTTTATTTCTACCCAAGAGGCTGGTCAGCAGCAGGAAACAGTCAATCAAAAACGACTCTTGAACTCTTTCCAGTATCATCTGTGGGCTCACGCAGTTCACCAACAGGAACCACTTGGCTTTTGCTGCCCTCGAGGCCGTCTGCTTTCAGACCAGAGAGGTGAGCTGCCCGTCTTCTCCACCTCTGGGTGGTGTTTTTCTTCTTCTTAGTTCAACAATGATGATGTTATGGTTGCGTTTAAGCGAGCGACCCTTTGTATGTATGTATGTGTGTGTGTGTGTGTGTGTGTGTATCAGATCCTTGACGCGATGAACCAGGACAGTGGCCTCCCTCTGACGCAGCTGCAGGTGGATGGAGGCATGACCTCCAACAGGTTACTGATGCAGCTGCAGGCTGACATTCTCTGCATCCCCGTAGGTAAGAGGCCTCTCCTAACACACGCACACACACACACACACACACACACACACACACACACGGGCTCAGCAAGAACTTCTAACTTCAAACTAAACGTTGAACGTTCGCTCTGACGGGTGCAGTGCAGTCATGTGATGCAGAGAAGCCGTGTTGCTGGTAATGACACACATGTGCTGTTGAACGACCCGCTGCACCGGCCCACAACGTGCAAAGTGCACTGCTCGCTGAAACAAAGTGGCAGCATGAACAACTTCCCCAAACTCAGCAATAAGTCTTAACGTTCACAAATGGGTGATGTCAAGTTGCGTAACCATCGACTTAACCTGGACTCTCTGTCCCCTCTGACTTTTGCCCCATTTCAAAGAAACAACACTGACACACAGACGTCACATTAACTGGTATGTACATAACTGGGCACCATGAACATCACCACGTGCACCGTGAGGTCTGGTAGCAACTGGATCTACATCACAATGTCCACCTCTCGGCTGATCACCGCAGCGCTCAGTGGAAGATCGGGTTACCTGTAATAAAATACGTGAGCTCGGACGTTTAAACCTCTTTAGCCGTCACATCTGCATCTTAGCAACTTCAGACCTTTAAGTTGCTACTTTGACTGGGCCTTTAAGCTGTGTGTGTGTGTGTGTGTGTGTGTGTGTGTGTGTGTGTGTGTGTGTGTGTGTGTGTGTGTGTGTGTGTGTGTGTGTGTGTGTGTGTGTGTGTGTGTGTGTGTGTGTGTGTGTGTGTGTGTGTGGTTTGTGGTTTGTTTCGCTCCAGTGAAACCCACCATGTCAGAGACCACGGCGCTGGGCGTGGCCATGGCGGCGGGGGCCGCAGAGGGGGTGGGCGTGTGGAGCCTGAGCCCCAGTGACCTACCACACGCCACGTCTGAGAAATACCAGCCTCAGATCCACTGTGACGGTGAGACACAGAATGGGGATCCCCCTTTTTGAGTCCTCCGAGGTCACGCAGTGGGACGACTGGTCTGCTGCCACCCGGGGGCCGTTGTTCAAAGCATCAACGGGGCCTCTGTCCCCTCGCTGACCTGTCCGTCTGTCCTCAGAGAGCGAGTTCCGCTTTGCTCGCTGGAAGAAGGCCGTCCAGAGATCCATGAACTGGGAGACCACAGAGCCGTGCTGCAATGCCAACGGTACTGAAGGGCCGAGCTGACGTTTTACAGACTTGTGACACACAGGAATGACTTTGATGTTTTTATGAAGCCTAATGTTTGGTGAACCTCCAGTGGTCTGACTGACGACGCTCTCTCGCCCTTATTCACTGACCACAGGTTTAGGAGAGAAGATGAATGGCGCCCCCTGGGGGGCTCCGCCCACTCCTCCCCCCACCAGAGCAGGCCCCTAAGGTCTGACGTTTGCCGCGCGTGACATCTTGTGGTGTGCGGGTGGTCCAGTGTAACCTCTGGCCATCGCTAACGCAGTGTGTTGGAGGGCCTGACCGATGCAGATCCACATCTGCTTTACTCTGATTCTACGGCAGCGTATTAGAGCCAGTGGACGTCAATAAAGGAACTCTGAAACGCCAACATTATGGTTGTATGTTTATGGGAAAATATAAATGTTCAGACATTTAAAAAAAAAAAGTTTTATTTATATTTTGTGGAGAAAATTAAAACTGGAACGGCACCGTTACGGAGTGTGTGTGGGTGACTTTGTTAAAGGTATTCGCGCTGCATCGGCCCGGCTCTTGTGTGGATGTGCATGTTACCCGTTCTGTCACCAGAGATGACGAGTGGGTCTCCTGGGTTCATTAGTCATCATTAACACGTCCCCATCACATCAAGCTGTCAACTAAAAACCATCCCAATAACAGATGAACATGCCGAGCCTGTGAACAATGGTGTTGTGTGGTTCCTGAGAACCTTTCTCTCCCCACAGATCCCCACATGTAACTGGTTCCAGGCCTTCATGGGAATATGGAAACCTGTGGAGCACGACTGGAGGATGTGATGCTCATCTTTCCAGCAGTTGTGATGAAACGGTGACAAGCTCATCAACTTCATGAGTCCCATCAAGCAGCTGTTGGCGCCAGTGTCCTTTCCTCCAGCCTGACTCACTGTTCTCTATTGCACTAGTATTGCATCTCACTAACAGGGATTCTGCAGTTTGTAAATGGTTTTGTGCAGTTTGATACAATTGTAACTGGAATGTATGAGATTAGTTGGACTAATTCTGCTTTTTAAAAGCTGCTGCATACTGTACATCATGTTAAAGTGGGGTTTTGAGGACAGTGTTTCTATTGATCACTTACCTCGGTGCAGACTGAAGGGACTCCCCGTACATTCCATTAAGGGCACTGCTCAGACCTGAGACCCTCACATTCACTGATCTGAAGATCTTAACTAATTTAGAATAAAGACAAGTGAAATGATGTGACAGTTGAGGTTTGTTAATATTCTGTTTATTGTATACATCCGAGGACTGATTTACTCGGATCCTCTGTCAGGCTGACGGGAGTCCTTCAACTCCGGACTGTGTAGAGAAATTATGTAGAATAAAAACTTGCACATGAGTACTTCTTGTGGATTGTTTCATTAGCAAAGTCTCAACACAGAATGAAGCGGACTAAATGAAAGCCAATAGATTTAATATTCCAGGTAGACAACATGAAGTAAAGTTAGAAAAATGCCCCCACAGGGACACCGGGGGAATGCAGCGGCCCAGTTCAACACGTCCCTACATTTACAGCTGGGACGCTCTCCATCTGCTCAGGCCGGTTGGTGGAACGTGCACAAGAGTCCAGCTGACGGGCGTTCAGCGGGAGAACTGCCTCCCGTCCGCTTTCCCTTTGTTCACATGCTTGAAGATTCTGGACTTGTGTGCGTTGTTGGACTTCTGGTATCCAAACCCGCCTCCTCCGCCTCGCTTCTGCAGCTTCCCTCCTTTACCGCTGTGGACATCTGGAGAACAGCCGAGTTAAGGAGAACTTCCATCGCGCATTTAAACAAATCACGTGTCGCAACGACGACGTCAATCACGGCTCTGAATAGCAGCAAAGGATACGCAGGTCGACGTAGGGGGGGACCTTGAAGCCAAACGACAGCGCCACCATGGGGAGGTTGAGGGTGTTGACGCTGTAAATCTGTTTGAGCGAGTGGGAGTCGTACGCCCTCACGTAGGACTTGTAGGCCTCCTGGGCCGACTTGTGGAGGTAGTAGTTCTTCTCGATCAGCTTCTCCATCTAAGCAACAAGAGGCGGTTTGTTCATTTCCTTTTATTTTCTATAGAAAGCTAAAAAGCAACATGTGGAAGCACCACACTTCTTACCTGGGACTGGATATCAGAGATCTTAGTCCAAGAAAAGTCAAACTCGCTCAATGGAACCTGGACAGAGAGGAGCAGAGTACATCAAGGCTCGTCCTACAGGAGGACACGGCCCATGTGTCCCTGGGTGGGATCAGCATGAGGAGAGCCGGCGGGGACAAACCTTGGCCAGTTTCAGGAAGCGCAGGAAGCCGAGCTCCTCGGGCCGCAGGATGAGGAGGGCGTGGCCTCTGCCGTTGATGCCTCTGGCCGTCCTGCCCACCCGGTGGATGTACTCCTGCAGAGGCAAAGCCCAGCTTAAAAGGGGCCCTACGCGGCCTACGGCGTGGAGCTATCGAGCTTTAGCTCCAGTACCTTGGGGTCATCTGGAGGGTCGTACTGGACGATCCAGTCCACCTCGGGGATGTCCAGGCCTCGGGCCGCCACGTCCGTGCACAGCAGGATGCCGGAGTCGGCGTTACAGAACTGGAAGAAGGTGGTGGTGCGTTTGGTCTGCTTTTGTTTGCCCTGAAAACACAGCATGAGGTGAGACGGGTGAGGCGGAGGCCTTTAGGCAGGATGCAGCGGTGGCAGGAGGTCGGCGACACGTCTTACGTGGATGGCCATGACCGGCAGGTCGATGTAGTTGAGGAGCTCGTAGTGGAACTTCACAGACATACAGGAGGAGAAGAAGACCATGAGCTTCTTCTTGCGGTTCTTCTTCAGGAAGGTGAAGAGCAGCAGGAAGCGCTTCTCTGACGGACACACGACGTAACCCTGAAACCAGAGACGGTCCGTTACAAGGCGCCCCAAAGGAGGACCGCGTCCACGTGACAGCGGCAGCCCGTACCTGCTCCAGACCGTCCACGGTGGCGTTGTCTTTGTTGTCGTCCACGCCGACGTACAGCGGCTCTTTCTTCAGGGAGATGCGAGCCAGGTCCTCCACCTTACGGGTCTGCGTGGCGGAAAACAGCATGGTCTGTCTCTTCTCTGGAGACACCGAGGCAGAGACATTGGACAGGGACTTAGAGGGAGCACGGTGGGTTAGTCGATGTCTGTGGACATTCTTTACGGTGAGCACGATGATGGTTCCCATATCTATGGACCACTGGCTTCATAGTACTACACTGCTGAAGTCACCATTTAACTAAGACCACCATCAACAGATACGTACTCGGCAGCAGCTTGATGATCTGCTTCAGTTCCTCCTCGAATCCCACCTCTAGGATTCGGTCAGCCTCGTCGATGATCAGACACTGTAGGTTCTTGTACATAAACCCCGGAGTATTCTGGGGGCACAGGAAGGTTATTCGTACAGCCCCATCCAGGCCGGAGCAGTAGAACCACAAGGCCTTCGTAGTGGGCAGCCATCAATAAACATGGCTGGCGCTCTTATGTCGGCGCCCTGCTCACCTGCAGGTGGTCCAGCAGGCGGCCGGGTGTGGCCACCAGGATGTTGACGCCGTTAGCCAGCCGCTGGGCCTCCGCTGAGCGGTTGCTGCCGCCCATGATCAGGCCAAAGGTGTGCACGTGATGCGCCATCAGCTCCTTCAGCACGCCGTACGTCTGCATGGCCAACTCGCGCGTGGGGGAAAGGATCACCACGCCGGTGCCTGAGCAGAACAGGGATGCTTGTTACTCACATTAAGCAACAGCGGCGTTTCCCAGCCTGTTAAGTGGTTAGGCCAAATACTTTGACTTGAGCCCATGTACCGGACCTCAGCACTGATTGCAGGTCACAAGCTTCTCGCAAGATAGCGGTTAGTAGAAATAACTATACGTTCAGAATGTTCAGTCTTGTTGTATTTAGCTACTTTAGATGCCGCGTGTGTGGCAAGCTACTCATTAGTGCCGGAGCTTGTGTTCCAGTTGGACAAACCAGGACGAGTTCTTAGGATGATCCAACAGTTACCCGACTTACAAAACGTTTGGAGGGAGCACGACTTTAACGGGAGTCTTACCGTTCCTGGGCATGAACTTGAGTTTGTAGATGAGCTCCATGGACGGGATGAGGAAGGCCAAGGTTTTACCGCTCCCCGTCTTGGCCGCAGCCAGAACATCTCTGAAGAGAAGGACAGCGCTTTGTCAACTCGCCACCAAGTCACTCAGCTTCTGGTCTGAAGTCGATCAGGCTGTTCTTCTAGCCGGCCTCTAAAAACAACCTGAGCAGCAGTCCGACGTTACATCGTCACTTACCTTCCCTCCAGCAGTGGGCGGATGCTTTTGTGCTGGATCTCGGTCATGTGTTCAAAGCCCATCTCCTTCACCGCTCTCAGCGTGCTCTCGCTCACCAGCTCCGCAAGAGAGGCGAAGGACGTGTCCTCAAATGCTCCTGAAACACCGGTTACACCATGCGTGAGAGTCAGATCACCTATCACCAATCATCATGTCCACCGTGTCCTTGCAGTTAGTCTTATAGGGAGAATTACTGAGGGCTCCTCCCAAAGACAACCACAACCGTCTCTGTATGCCTCAGCTGACACCCGCTTCACGATGGAAACACTGAGCGGGCAACACATAGAGGCAAAGCTCAGGTGTGTGTGTGTGTGTGCACTGAGCGGGAAAGATGAAGGCAGCAGCCCACTGAAGCACAGAGTACTGCAGTAAACTGGTTAAATAAAGACATTCCTGGATGTTTCTTGGCGATTTGTGCTGAACCGGGTTAATAATGTAAATTGTGTGTATGGATGACAAGAGGAATTTAACGTGTGGTAATTTAAAAAGGAGATATCAGTAGTCTGAGTGTATCCAAAATAATGAAATATCAACCGTGATCATGGCCCGTTCTTCTTGTGATATCTGGGGCTGAAGCTTATACTTGTCATTTATCTGACGCATTTATCCAAAGTGACTTACAATAAATGTATTCAACCATAGGGATACAAAACCATAAGAGCAAGAAACAAGAATGCAATGTCATCAAATAAGTCAGAATTTGCTATAGAAAAAAGGCATTAAAAGTACAATTTAAGTGGAACAATTTGTTAGTCTTTTAGTCGATGTAGAGTCTGAGGAGGTGTGTCTTTAGTTTGATGTGAAGGCTCTCTGTGGTCCTGATGTCATCACAGAGCTCTTATACTTGATACTTAGATATTAAAACATCATTAAAGCTACAGAGGTGGAACTCGCTCCTCGTGGCGTGTTACACGCTGCCCGTTACAAGCACTGATCACACTGCTCAGCAGCCAGTCTGCAGTAAACACACACGCAGTATTCAGTACCTGTTAAACCAGATGGTAATTCGGGCTGCTCTTCTTCCTCATCTTCCTCGTCGTCTTCTTCTTCCTTTGCAGCGTCCTCAAGTTTATTGCTTTTCTGTTCTTCATCTGGTGAAGCATCTCCATCATCCTCCTCCTCCTCCTCCTCTTCTGCTTCTTTCGCGGTTTTCGTCTTTTTCTCCACTGAAAGAAGGAATCAAACGTGAGGGTTCGCCCTCAAACAGAAGGCGTTGCAGTCCAGCATCCCGTTGGCGGACTCCGGTTACCTGGTGGCTCCGCGGGCGCAGTCAGCTTTCTTCTCTTCTTGGTCTTCTTGGGGGTCTTCACCTTTGTCGTGGTCTCTTCCGCTGGCACCACAATCGGTTTCTTTGAAGCGTTTTCTTTTTTCTCACCTTTGTCTTCCAGTCCGTTTGAGTTTACTGTTAAAAACATTGCAATACAACACTGTTATTAAGCCGATCGGTCACATGACCGATGAAACAATTACTTAACAGCCACGTTTATAAATCTCAATAATCTGCAATAAATTACGGCGACAAATTAAGGCAAGGATCCAAAGCCACAATGTGTTTTCAGCTAACTTCATTTAACAGTGTTATATTCGACCGGTTTATCGAGAAATCCCATTTTAAAAGTATGCTAACTCGGCTAGCTTAGCATTCGTCCCCGCTCCAGAAACGCATCAATCACACAACAACAACAAACACACGCTGTATCACTGCGCGTACCCGTCTCCTCCTCCGCTGTTTGCTCCCGAAGTACTTTCCGCTCTTTGTTCTTGTCACTCCTTTTCTGAATTTTCTTGCGGAGAAGTTTCATCTGTAGGTCCGCCATGGCAGCGCAGTCCAGCACACGTGTGTGTGTGTGTGTGTGTGCGTGAGGGGTGTTGAGGACCCTTCTGGGCCCCGCCTGCGTTGCCTGAGTAAAAAGTCAAAGGACCTCTCTCGTACAACAGGCATTTATTAACATAAATATACATATATATATATATATATATATATATATATATATATATATATATATATATATATATATATATATATATATATATATATATATATATATATATTGTTGTCTGCTAACTGTGTCCGTTAGCAGACAACAACCAGTGAACCAACCAACGCAAATAAGGCAAATCTATGATGGTTGTTGCATAGAATGATGACTAAATAACTATTAAGCTGTCGGTGGGCCATTTCCACAAATAAATCAAGGAAGCTTTAATATTTTGGAAAGAATGCAGACATTTAACATAGACTCTGTAAAAATAGGAACATGAATTTGAGACCGTAAAGTGTTAATCGATGAACCCTCAACAGCACTGACTGTTCATTTTCAAGTGCTGTTCAAGCGTAGATACACATGAAGAATATATTGAAAGAAAAGAAGATAAAACGTTCCGACCGGTTGCTCAAATGAAATATCTGAGAGTTCTGATTACAAGGTACTGTATATTGGATCATGACGACGCTGAAATCAAGAGGGTTTGCTATTTTTAAACTAAAGTAGTCTACATTTTCATAGTAAGATGCTAATAATAATAGTATAAGCTTGGTACACGTTAAAGCTCTTATTAATTTCTATAAACACAACATAATTGTTGTATGCATTTTTTATGTTACATTGAACGGGATTCACTGAAAACAATCCTGTGAAAGGGAGTAATAAAATAAATATTTTTCAAGGCCTCTGGGAAAAGATTCATGCCAGCAGAGATTGTGTTTCCAATGCACACAGTTCTTTGAATTATTTATGGATCAAATGTGGTATGAATATTAAAAGTATGATCTTAGGGCCTCTTTTTGATACATAGAGGAAATAAACTGATGGAAAGGGTTAGAGACAGGAAGTGACACGCAGCGAAGGGATATTTTACGTTTCACGAACATTGTATTAAAAAAATACTGTCTTACTTAAAAGCAATCAGCTAGGTAAGTTTTATTTATTTGTCTATAGCTGTTGACTGTATTTTCAGATTCATATAATGATACAAAGACACATGCGAAATTCCCTCAAACCTTTGACTAATCTTGGGTTTTAAAAAGGCAGAAAAGTTTGTCAGCTTGGATGTCTTCAACCTGTTCTCATATACTTTACTGTATCAATGTGGATGACCCTTGACATCCTTTACAAAGTGCTAGTAACTGATGACAAGTCAAACATATTGTGTAAGGCATTTAAGTCTTCTTCCCCCGGATGTTGCACAGTGACGTCATCATCAAGTGACCTACCAAATGAGCTTCCCATCGCCTGCTCAATACTTCCTTTACAAGGTATAATTGTATAATATAACCTTGCTCCTGAAGTTGGCGGACTAATAACAATAACAATCATGACTATTATATCAATTAAAAAAATGTTTTCTTTATTGAAATTGGCAAAACAACAAGTACATATATACATTATCTATGTTCTAAAAGGGCGAAGACTTTGTTGGTATATTTTTCAGGTAACCCACATGAACACTGCGAACGCTGTATACAAATAATGTATCAATTGAGCATGAAATAAAAGACACAAAGAGTTGCACTAACCCACATTATTGTATATTGTAATATTAACAATACTGTAATCCACGCGTCATGTAAACCGAGGCCGTCCCCCTCCCTCGATGATTGACAGCTGCGAAGCCCCGCCTTCGTCGCGCTCGACCCGGCCTCCGCCATCTTGCCTCCCTCCCCGCCTGCCAGAAGCCGAGTGCGGAAGTGGAGACGGCACTGTGCGGGCTCAGGGTTCCGCCTGTGGACGGCTTACGACATCCTCCGGCCGACACCGCCTGCTATCCATCCAATTCCAACCGCTTTTGAACAACAGAGACCCGGAGAGAGATGGCTGGACGGTTGCCGGCGTGCGTTGTCGACTGCGGCACAGGGTAAGCGGCCGTAACCGAAGCACCGTGCGGCCGGGGGGGCTCGAGTGTCATGAGGGGGCTGAGGACGGCCGGGGACTGTCAGTGTCAGCCGCAGACCGCCGCTGCTGCCACGGTTTCATTCCTCACGTTGGTTTTTCTCTGCCGGTCTCGTCGTTAGTCCCTCGGCTGTGTTGTCTTTGGTGAAACGTCCTGTCGGGAGAGAGAGAGGAGGAGGGGGGAGGGAGACAGGGAGGCTTCCCCCACAGCTGGCTCATTCATTTGGAGCCGACGGGCCTTCACGCCAGATGTTGTCCAACGTTATTTTATAATTTGCTATTCAAAGCGTGTCTTTGAAGAAACGGGACTTGCAGAGACGCTTTCGTCATTGCAGATTCCAGCAGGCGCACTTCTACCTACTTCCTATTCGGCCGACACTTCCTCATTCACGCGCTCTAGTCCTTATATGGCGCTTTCTGGGCACCGAGCGCGCTGTTGTCATTAACTTTTCTACCGTGTGTTCTTTCTCGGCCCACCGACTATTTTCCCAAACGCGTGGTGTGAACCGTGTCGGCCCGGTGAGAACCGGGGCAGACCGAGTACTAGATGGGCCCCTCGCAGCGCTGCTCACCTCCTTCCTGCTTCCTTCATGCTTCCGACCGAGGCTTCTCTTTTCAGGTGAAGCTTTCAATAATGTGTTTTGAAAGATCTTCCCACGTGAACCTCTTCGGGAGGACGTGACATGCCCTATAACCACTGCGAGTTAGTTGTTTTTGGGGGTCTAACTAGCGGGTCGCTTGCATGTAGAGGCTTGACCTCACCCCTCTTCACGTTGCATTCCTCGCTTCACCCCCCCGCGGCCCCCCGCGGCCCCCCAGGCTGTTAACCAGTGCTTCTCACCGGCTCTGGAGCAGCAGAGAAACGTGCCATGGAGAATTCGCTTGGCCTGCGCTACTTTCTACTCCTGGAGCAGATGGCCAAAGCCTTACAGTCATAACACATATGTTCCAATATTAATCACTGCAGGATTAAAGAAGACTTTATTCCAAACAGTATGCATGCTGGAGCCAGCTGTGGGCAGATGTTGTGCGGTACTGAAGTCGATCCTTCACAGAGCTAACGGGGACGAAGGGGCGTGCGATGATGTCCTGTCGAGGCTCGTCCCCGCAGACAAGCTGGGGCGGTTCAGAGGAATGAAGGTGCTCAGGTTGCTGTTACTCTCAGCAGGCCGTTGTGCCCCCGAACCGCAGTCTGCGCGTCTCTGGAATAAAGTGCGTTTAAGAGGCTGATCCAAACAATGTGTCGAAGAGGAACTGCCTCTGTCCGCCCAGTTCACGCCGGCTCTGGTAGTTACAGAGGTTACACCTCAGGGAACCACAGATTTAAATCATCTGGGCCTTATTTGTCATATCAGTGCACCTGGAGGAGCTGCCCACTCTCTCTGCCATGCATGATGAATCAATCACACCCTCCCACCGTGTTCTGTCTCCCTACTTTCCCTCAGAACGACCAACGTTGGCAGCGCTGTTGGTTTTTCACTGTGCTGGACAGAGAGAGGGACGTTGCGAGATAAGATTATATAACGTTGTTCACACACAAGTTCTCTTTTAGCTTCTGACAAACCAAGAACCCGTCGTTATCACATCAGGACGCGTCTCTCCCGTTCGCTCATGGCGCTCCGTCACACTGCAACACTAACAGCGCTCATCGGTCGATCGATGCTGCGTCTCAATGTCATCTTTCTGAAAATCACACCCACTATTTCCTGTGTCATTGGGAGATTTTCTCTCAGAAAAAACAAAAAGCCGCCGCCTTGTGTGCAGGACGGGAAATGAACAGATTTCATAAACATGTTTGTTCTTATAAAGATGATTAAACCAAATACTTAGTAAAGTCATATTAGTCACATTCTAGCAAAACACTCTGGTGATTTCTTCCAAAGACAAATGCTAATGTGGCTCTTTTTTAAAGGGAAATTCCAAGAAGCCTCTATTATGACCAGGATGTGGTCCTTCATGCCCACAGACGTCATGACTCAGCAGTGTCCTCCGTCAGTCCCTGTAGTACTCCTGTGTGCAGGAAGTCCAGTGTGTTCCTAGGCCGGTTGGGGCTACATCTGGTTTGCATCTGGTTAGCATGTGCCAAGCAAAGCAACAAGTGTGCAGAGCACAGAAGCCCGTGAAGTCTACAGTCTTAACTGAATGAGCGTAGACATCAACATGTTGCTTCTGTAACTTTATATTCATACAAGTTCCCTCTCTGCCCAAAGTGAAGTAGGCAAAGATGAACACAGCAGTGTTGAGGTTATAGACAGTTTAAATGGACAGTCAGTTTATGCAATTTAACCCCCCTGCAGACATCTATGAGTAGTCCTCAGTTTCCCCATACTACATGAATGGCTCTTTTAATGGCGTCCCATTAGCAAACTCCAGAGAGGCCGCTGCCTTTGGCGGCCAGGCCAGCCGACCCGCCGAAGGACAGTAAAGGCCTTTGTTCAAAGCGAGGCCGCAGGCCCGGGGGGCGGGAGAAGCCAAAAAAGGTTTTTAAAGTATAATAAACTTTGGCCCATATAAATGGGGGGCTGTGGGGGGGGGGGGGGGGGGGTCAGTGTTAGCAGGTGGTCTGCTTGGTCCGCAGCATGCAGCCTCTAATGAAACCTGATGCTTCTCTCCTGCAGATACACCAAACTGGGTTACGCAGGGAACACGGAGCCGCAGTTCATTGTTCCGTCATGTGAGTATGTCTCTTCACTCTGACACTAACCACAACCGTGATGAATCTTTGAAAAGAGGAACACATCCACCTTCCGCTTGTCAGCCCTGATTGTTCCTGTACTACTCGTCGTGGTTCAAAATCTTTCACCTTCCATGTTAAAGGTTTCGATTTGCACAACAATCATGAAAAGTTTGATCGCTATTGATCATTTAAACTTATTTTTCATTCAAATGTACATATTTTGAGCGTTTGTCCTCTGGTGCTCTATTGAATTCTCCAGGTATTGCCATCAAAGAGTCGGCCAAGGTGGGAGACCAGGCCCAGCGGAGGATGATGAAGGGGGTGGATGACTTGGATTTCTACATTGGAGATGAAGCTCTAGACAAGCCCTCGTATTCCACTAAGGTACACGGCCGGAGAACCACGAGGAGCCGATGTTTGACGTTGTTCCGTTTCTTTAAAGAATCAATATAGTCATTATATTATGTAAAGCAAACGCACATGAGTTCATGTCCTCTTCGGTACAGGCAGCAGGCCGCTCTCTGTAAACTCCTCACAGCAGCACAGACCTTCAGCGATGGTTCTGCTCCGTTCCGTGTCCCAGTTCGCAGCTTGCATGGTGTCCCACTTCTTGACCACACACCAATTCTGAGCTGCTTTTTCAGTTCGCAGCTAGTAAAGGGACAAAATGAAGTATTCATATTTGTACAGATTTGCAATATTTTCCTGCATCATACAGAAGAACATAAATGAGATTGTATGTGAGGAATAATTCCTCTGATGTCCACGATGAACAAAGGTTTGTCATTTTGATAAGTCTAATTAGCATTTTTTTTTCTAACGGTGGCGTTTTATCCAATCCGACGTCCAATTGGGTCATTTCCTGTTTGCATAACTGGCTTAGTCTTTAGTTTCTTGTAAAATAACTTCAGAAACGGCACACTGAAAGCTTAGCGTACACAGCGCCTGGCATACACATTCACCCCCTTTTGCTGCTTTCATACATGAAATTATTTCTGCTAATCGATTAATCGGTCCATTATTTTTTGGATTAATCGATGAATCGGATAAAAAACTGCATTAAAAAGCTTTAATTTCCAAACCTTGATTCTAAAACGGAACTGCAAATTCACATTGCAGAAATACTTCAGAAAGTGCAGGTTGATCCTTCAACATAATAATAATTTATAAAAAAAAAGAAAATACAAATCAGAAAATTGAACACAATTCCAAACTTGTTCTCTACACTAGACTCACAAACTCACACACCCATGATCACTTGGAGCTTATTCATTAAATTACTACCATCATTGTAGTGCAAGTTAAGTAAATGTACACAGCACATCTTTGTACAGCAAAAAAAATGTGCTATGAGATGAATTTGAAATGGAATTTGTAAATAAATGCACTAGAGGCTTCTTAGTTAGCCGCGCTGGTTTAATGGATCACCGTGTGTCAACTACCAAACAACCCACAGTATATTTTGCCATTGACACTTTTCTAGTTTATTCAATGCTCCACATCTTGGACGACCAGTCGAACAGACGTCTCTGCCTGCGTCATGTGACTCCCAACAGCCGCCGACGCTGCTCTTTCCTCTACGTCGGCTCGGCTGTCTTTTGTTTTGTTTTTTGCTCTGCCTGCATCTCTACGCAACTCGTTGAGTGACTCAATAATCGCACGACACAATGAATCGATAATGAAATTTGTTGCCAACACAAACATTTTTATCGATGTCATTGATTCCTTGTTGCAGCCCTAGTCAGTACATCTCTTCACAATATGTAAATTAATTAATAATATATACGGTACAGGTAATTGTTGCATACATATTGTCTGTGTTTAGTAGATGGCTCTTTTGGCAGCAGTCGCAGCTTCCACATCTGGAAACTGCATTTTTTCTCCTCTTCTCCATGAACACAGCTGTGTCGGGCTGCTCGTCCAGACACAAATTCTCCATTGAAATGAGAAGGAGGCTTTAAAGTGCTGTAAACTTCATGGAAAGTGAAGAATTCAAACCAGTTGGGTCGGTAACATCCAACCAGCGTAGCTGCTCACATGCAGGATAAACAAGCGCAAACACACCTGTGTACTGGGACAAAGCAAACGGACAGACAGTTTAACAAAAAAGGCAGACTAACTAAATAAAGACACAATATTGTTTTGAAGCAATGTAATATTGTCCACCACTGTAATATGTATTTATCACTGAAGCAGCTCCATGTCACAGTGCGTCTGCATCTTGTATTTAGGCTTCTATTTTTCTGCGGCCATTGCATTCCAACGCAGAGTCCTAATTAGCTGCACTTGTACCAACAGTGGCCGATCCGTCACGGCATTGTGGAGGACTGGGACCTAATGGAGCGCTTCATGGAGCAGATCATCTTCAAGTACCTGAGGGCCGAGCCCGAGGACCACTACTTCCTCCTGGTAAGAGGCTCAGGATGGATTGATTGACATTTGTCAACAAATCTGCCTTATTCTGTCAGTGTGAAGTTTGGGCCCATGGCCTGTAGACTACAAAATGTCGACACAAGTAACTGTTCTTTGCAGCCCAAATTGGTCTCTTGTGATCTCTTTGCATTCATGTTACCAAAACCTGTTATTTGAATTTGATGTTGCGCTAGTATGCCGGTAATGGAGAGTCAAAGCCAGCTTTGGCTGCAGAATAACTGTGTGTATTACTCTTCGTCTGCAGACAGAGCCTCCTCTGAACACGCCTGAAAACCGAGAGTACACGGCAGAGATCATGTTCGAGTCCTTCAACGTGCCCGGGCTGTACATCGCTGTGCAGGTGAGCTATGTTGGGTCATCTAGTGTGTATGTGAGGAGATCCACGTCGCGCACGTCATGCTCTCTCCTCAGTCCGTTGTTCTGCTTCCTTATGGGACAATGACCGTAGCAGGGCGCAGGGATGTGCTTTACATGTGATCTCTGCGTGTGTGTGTGTGGCAGGCTGTGCTCGCTCTAGCGGCGTCCTGGACGTCCAGACAGGTGGGCGAGAGGACGCTGACGGGCACCGTCATCGACAGCGGAGATGGTGTCACCCACGTCATCCCTGTGGTAAGTCTCCTGATCAACACAGGCTCACATCCATCGCTCTGCCCCCAAGTCCGTTCCATACAGTCTGATATGTGTTGGGTTATCTCAGGTGTGATCTATTTGCTTCGTTTAGATTATTGATTGATGGCATTTGATAATCAATGAGAAGCATTCAGTCATTATTCAAACACTGTTACACACACACACACACACACACACACACGGGCTCATACTGCACTGACAGAAATAACTAGTGTCATGTGTGTAACCAACCGCGCCTGCGTGGATGTACTATTCTTTAAGAAGACTCTTTCATTCATAATTTAATGGCTTTACGAAAATAATGATTTCAAAATCCATTGATTTTGCTCTCATCGTCTTCATTTTCACCGTTTTGAAAACCGCTGCCAGCGCGCTTTAAGCACGCTGAGAGGCAGCAGTGTGTGTTTGAGGTTTCATGCACTACGCGGACGCCACAGACACATTTCCCCCAGTCTACTTGCTCAGTAACCGGATAGTGTGGATGTTGGAAAAAGGGCCAAATGGTTTCAGAGGCTGCAAGGAAAACTGTTTAAGGAAATGTGCTTGCAGAATACTTTGGGAGGGTGGGCCAATGAGTCGGCATGTCTGCGCCCACTGCGTGACTGCTGTCTCTGTGCTCCCCTGTCTCTCTCAGGCTGAAGGCTACGTCATCGGCAGCTGTATCAAGCACATCCCCATCGCAGGGCGAGACATCACCTACTTCACCCAGCAGCTGTTGAGGGAGAGGGAGGTGGGCATCCCGCCGGAGCAATCGCTGGAGACGGCCAAGGCAGTCAAGGTTGGTCCTCAGCTCAACGTCCTCCTAATGCAATGGCTTCCCTCATACAGGAGCATGTGAAGAATGTTATACTGGGTTTGGACATTTCAGAAAAGAATGTTAAGTATGTTGGTTAGATATATGAAGTTCTGACGCGGACATTATAGGGAGTTAGTTATTTACTGTGTTATGCACGTAAGGATTATCATACCACATATCGGTAGTTTAGGTTTGTGTGTGTGTGTGTGTGTGTCTGCATACTTTACCAGGTCCCGTCAGCCTTGATGAAGTATATATGGCATAACCATTAAGGTGTGTTATGTTTAAGACATAATTGAAGTTAATGAATTGAACAACTTAATAGAAACCAATTGGATATTTAAAGCTGTAAGACTTTCATGTTAGACCATTAAAGAAAAGAAGGTGAACCAAAGTCTTTCAGTCCTGTTCACAAGATGTCCATCACCTACACAGTAGATCCATGAGAAGAGTTGTTGTTCTGCTCGTGGCCACCAGGGGCCACTTTTGTTCTGCCTCCTGCATGCAGCGGGTGTCCTTTAAAGCTCCTCCCTGCTTAGCTTTGTTTGTGGTTTGAGCACCGTGTTTCCCAAACTGGGATCAACCACAACTCCAGATGATTGAGTTCTTTGTTGACACATTAAGTCCTATCTAGTCTTGTTTGCTTTCTCTTATTGTTGCTCCTTCATTTTATTGATTCACTTCAATCCCTCCATGTTTATTAAATTACTTCTTATCCAAGACTCTGTCCTCAACGTCAAAGCATCACTCATTACCACGGGGCAGAAAAACAATAAATAAATAAATTTGCATTAGCTTGAGGGGAAATCCAGTCAAGCTTATTGCCAATCATGTCTGTAAACATTGAGGCAGCTGGCGTCTGGCTCGCAGGATGCAGCTCTGTCCAACCCGATCAAGCCAATGGCGTCGCCTCAGAACGCTGCAGAGTGGCACTCATTCATTGTCGCTATTACAGCAACAGCGATCACGCTGCCAACTCCTCAAATTGAATGTGTCTCTACAACTTCACAATCCGCAGTAGAATGTAAAGGACAAACAGCCAGATGTGTTACTCAGTGCAAACATTCGATCACGTCTGACTCAGAAGAACGCAATTAGACTGCAGGAGACACTGCCATTTACATGCCTTACACCCCCCCCCCCCCCCCCCCACCAGGAGCGGTTCAGCTACGTGTGCCCAGATCTAGTCAAAGAATTCAGCAAGTACGACACAGACGCCTCCAAGTGGATGAAGCAGTACACCGGCATCAACTCCGTCAGCAAGAAGGAGTTCACCATCGATGTGGGCTACGAGCGCTTCCTGGGGCCCGAGATCTTCTTCCACCCAGAGGTCAGTGCACACGCACACGCACCTCTCAGACACATTTTGGGTGCAATCCTTGTTCCTGTAGCTTAGGGTCATGTCTTTGTTTACTCTCCATCCCAGTTTGCCAACCCCGACTTCACCCAGCCCATCTCTGAGGTGGTGGACGAGGTCATTCAGAACTGCCCGATCGACGTCAGGCGTCCTCTTTATAAGGTAAACACACACTCGCCTTGATGACGAGACGGAGCGATGCTCCCACCGCTCACCGGAAACGGTTCCAGCATTTGTCACATGACATTCAGACCGTCCTTCCTCACCGTTCAGAGCTCTGTTGTTCATATCCAAGCAGAATATCCAGCTTACCAACAAGTCTTCAACCCTTTTCCACATTAATTCATGCCTATATGCACGTTTTTTTAAACTAAATGCTCCCGCGTTGTTGCACACTGGAAAACATTTTATTAGACGGGAAAAATGTTAACGCAATTTGTCCAACCATTGGAAGCCATTCGCAGCCTTTCCCCCTGAAGTCAAAGCCAAATGTTAGTGAGAGTTGGTGGGTTTTCTTCTGGGGGGAGAGGAGCTTTACAGCATCATTTTCAGGGTGATGGAATAAGACTTTTGCTTTTATTCCAAGCCTCCGGTTTAGGGGCGTTGGGTGTGGTCGTCCAGCAGACTCTCTGTGGGAGATTCTTACTGAACACCACCTTGTGTCCCACAGAACGTCGTCCTGTCAGGAGGCTCCACCATGTTCAGGGACTTTGGTCGCCGGCTGCAAAGAGATTTAAAGAGAACGGTGGACGCCCGCCTGAAGATGAGCGAGGAGCTGAGCGGAGGCAAGCTGAAGGTGAGCGCGGACGTTCGTTGGTACGCAGCAGGGATCGATACTGCCAAACAACACGAGAGACACAAGTCCTTCCTCACTACAATCACTGTGGGCAAAGATGTGTACTGAATGTAGACTAGTTCATTTAAATTGCAGATGTATTAAATAGAAGCCGGGGGGTGTAGGGGGAATGCAGTGGAATTGTTTCACCTTCAGGGAAGAAGTTAGTTTCTCGTGCCTCCTCCTTACTCGGTCAAGCTGTGAAGGCAGTACGTGTGTTGGCATCCCCAAGTCCTCCTCACCACTGTCCCAAAACGTCCTTTAGACACGACGACTATATCTGTGATGAAACATCAGTCACCATAATATTACTGCTGTTTGCATTCCTCCTGGTGCAGTGAATCCCTGAATCACAGGTTCAGACTGAAGGAGTTGTTATGGTTGTAATTCTGTATTGTGCAGACCGATGTGTGATACATTGTGTCCTGATCCCCGGTTCTCCTTTTGGTCCTCCCTCTGCAGCCCAAACCAATCGATGTTCAAGTCATCACTCATCACATGCAGAGATACGCAGTGTGGTTCGGTGGATCGATGCTGGCATCCACTGTAAGTATTTAAACATTCCGCTTCATCCAAAGCAGTTCCCCATCATGGCAGGAGGCCGGTACCACACACGTGATGCCGCCGTGTGTGACGCTTTTGTTCAATCCTCATTCGCTGTGTAATTACTCTGTGTGACGCTGTGGGCGGCCGTGACCTTTCTTATTTATTCATTTTCTTTGAGGCATTTGTGTGTTCATTTTGTCAATAGGACTTGGTAAAGGTCTCTGCACAGCTGATTCATAACAGAGACGTTATGCTCAATATCAGCAGCTCCCTTAATGGGGTTCTATAGGAATTACGTTTTCCGTCATTATCATCCTCCGAATGGTTTAATTTAAACTTCAGACAATATTTAATAATAAATATGTAAGATCCTTATGTAGTCACTGGTAAGACTTGCGTCTTTATTTAGATGTGTTACTGCGCGGTTTCTCCATGGCAACGGTGGCCAACGGCTCCTGAGCTCCAAACTCAAAGTCAGTCGTTTCTTGTATGTAACTGTCAACCTGCTGGTGATAAAGGGAGTCAACGTTCCACCTAGAAGCTACAGCAGCAGATTGTTCATAAGGAAAACCCCGAAACCATCACGACCTGAACAGAGAAAACACCACCTGCAAAAACTAGATATGCAAATACATGCAGCTTTTGGAGTGATGCATTTTGTTCTGTTTGTTGTCCACAGCCCGAGTTCTACCAGGTCTGCCACACCAAGAAGGACTACGAAGAGATCGGGCCGAGCATCTGTCGCCACAACCCCGTGTTCGGAGTCATGTCTTAACTTTGGGTCTCCAGAGTCTCATAGTGTGTGTGGGGGGGGGGGGTGGAGGTGCTTCTGTGCGTTGAGCTATGGATGTGAGGGCGATCCATAACATACAAAGGAAAAACAAAGGAGACCAGACCGAGCGCAGACGGGCTGGAGCTTATCGTGAATGTCCCTTTTTTTCAGTTCAAACGAGGGAAATGGTTTGTAGGCCCAAACAGTTTGGAGAACGTTTGTGGGTCTGTTGAGCAACGTGCAGTGAGCGATGATTAAAAAGATGGTGTTGGAGGAGGCACGATGAGAACAACGGTAACAGTTCATTCCTGACACCAGAACATATTATTTATGTTTTATAACGAGACCCACTGACGACTTTAGAACAAATTATCCTCTCCTTTATTTTACTTTTCCTCCAGCTTGAAATGCACACGGCTGTGCATCACGGTAAGAGCTTGTTTATATTTCATACAAAAAGTTTTTTATATGTAAAACTTCAGGAGTAAAAAACAAACAAACATGATAGATACCAGTATCACCAAGAGACTGTTTTAACCCGCGACGCAGCTTTGATACGCAGTATTTCCTTTAGTCTGAGTAGGTGTTATTATTAATATGTCCCCCTTTAATTCTTCATACAGTCCACTTGACTCACACGCAGGGAGGGAACACGGAACAGTGAAACCCAATGAGAACAACTGTTAGAGTAGAAGTCATTTTCTTTTTCTTATATATAATTAAATGCCAAATTATGAACAGAATGGGAATTGTGTATTTAATGCCTTGCAACATTCCAATAAAGGCTCCAATTTGTTTCTAACTGCTGTGGTCCTTCTTGCTTTTTACTGTTGATGTTGAATCATTCGGTGGGGAATGAGTAGAATATGTGGCGCTGTCTGAAGAGCCTTAACGGGGGATGTTTGATGGAATTAAAAAAGGAGGAGGTTGTGAGTTTGGGCCGTTTCGTTTCTTCTTTCCACCTCGGAACCGTTCAATCTGAATCCCTCAGCGAACACGCACGCCATCTTCCACCAGTGGAAACCCGTCCCCTCCAGTTTAGACAATGTAATTGGATTAATTAGGATGCAGTTCCTTTTGTGACTGGTAGGGGGCACTGTCACCACGTGGGAACACTAGTCACAGGAAGCCGGCTACCCTGTATGCAGCTAGGGTCCATGAGGACAGCCATTGATCTCGTCCCATGTCCCACTCAGATGTGAGCTGGTTTATTCTGACACTTGGGCCCAATTTTCAATCACAGAAATGAAAAAGTGAAAAACGAGACTAAAGAATCCAACCAGTGCTTCCACTCCCGTGTTTTCAGACGTGTTGCCCTGTTGATGTTCAGGACGAAGCTCGGCCTCCCTGACGCTCGAGCCATGTGGCTCATTGAGTTCTTACATTTGTCTACTTAAATTGGCTAGATGGCTTATTTTATTTTTGAGCTTGGCGCTCTTTAGACGTGAGCATGAACGTGATCTGATTGGCTGGTGTCTGCGCTGTCGTATCAGCATGGAAGGAGCTGTGAGTGAACCGGAGTCCAGCTTGAGAGCTGCTGTGGGAAGCTGAATGTGTGTGACTGCACGAGAACGTCTTCTCCATCAATTGATCCATTTGCTACAATATGTTGGATTCATGTTAATGTGTATTTAAAGCAATAAATACAATTCTGATAGACATTTGAATTTGTGGATTTTGCGACCCCCCCCTGCATGTTGCGACCCCCCTGCAGTACCTCTGCGTACCCCCTGTTGACAACCTCTGGACTCGAACGTGTTTGTGCCGTGTAGTGATACTTTGAGTTCTGCTCCGCATGTTGTAGTGCCATTGAGAAAGTGTAATTCTGCAACATTAGGGCTTTAAAGACAGTAAGTATACAGTGAGATTATTGTTAACAACTCGTTGGATTAGAAATACATCGGCAAAGAAAAATGTCCATCTTGCATAGAAAACCTCAACTGTGTCTAAATGGACTGAACTTATTAACGCGTACAGCGCTTTTCTAGTCTTCTGACCACTCAAAGCGCTTTAACACTACATGACATCATTCACCCATTCACACCCATTCATACACTGATGACAGGAGAACCACACACAGTGACACCTGCCATCAGTAACTAACATTCACACACTGTAGTCACAGCTACAGGAGCAATGTTGGGTTAAGTGCCTTGCCCAAGGTCACAGCGACATGCGGGTTAGCCGGGCCTGGGATCGAACCAACAACCCTCTGATTGGAGGACGACCGTGCTCCCCACTCACCCACAGTCGCTGTCTAAGAAGTCTGTGCAGGTTTCAAATAATGAAGTCTTTACCATTTTCTCTGATTCCCTACGCTGTCACCACTGCAGTGAGTTGCCATGGATACATATTTTCTTGTATTCTGGATGAATAACGTCAGTGTCCAGAGTCCTGTCTTCTGGCCTGTAAGCCTTCACGTGCCCTTTGCCTTCCGGTGATTTCGGGGTGCCCTCCTGCTGTGCAGAGGATTGAAAATGGACGGGTGCTTCCAGAGCGCGCCGCCACCGGCCCAGCTGTCTGCACGCGGGACGCGTGATGAGGAGACGCGTGATGAGGAGACGCGTGATGAGTGTCCCTCAGGAGCTGCTCTGCCACAGCGGCTCAGTGAGCGGAAAAGTCATTTCAATCCTGTTGTGTGATCGCAAGTGACCTCAAGTCCGCACATGCGTTCATCCATTCACGCACGGGGAGGCCAAGAAGGTGCCACCACGTCAGCGTTGTATTCGGACACCGTATTTCAGAAGTGGACCTCGTCATTGTTTATGTGCTGTTTGCAAGCCGCCACCATCTTCCTCTACGTCTGTGGCGTAAAGGGCATTGAGGCTGAAAGTGGGGCTCTGTCAGAGCTCTGCAGTAGTTAGCACAGCTCAGCGGTGGCTTTAATACAAATTGTACGTGCTATCTTCCTGTTTAATGATTTTATTAACGTGCCAAAATAAAATCTCAAACTTAGTTATGACTCAGTGGTTATTGTGTGTTGGCTCATTAAGCGAAAACAGAGCAGGAGGAAAACCTTCTGTAATAAAAATATGTACCTGTGCTTAAACTCCAAATGAGGCCACATAAGGGCTCTTCGGAGCATCGAGAACACTTGATGCCAACTAGTTGTTCATGAGACTCCACGTCCTTGTGCTACATGCAGCATTTTAAATGTGAAGTTGACAGGCTGGCTCAAGAAACACGCACAATGAGGAGATGAAGGCAAATCCCTGTATGACCCTTGATTAACCCGTAACCTTTTTCTATATGCTCCCTCTTTATATGAGATCATTGGTTAGCAATGGCTCCAAACCTCTGTAAGCCCCATATGTCATGTGTCACTACAGACTGCATACGTGTGCTCCTCCGTCAGCTTTCTGTACGTGTGACACTGACGCGTTGTGAACCCTTAGTACCACATCCAGCACTTTAAGGCTGAGCCTCTGCCAGCGCATTGAGCACAAGTCTTCTGCATACAGGGATTGGGATGTGATTCGTTTGATTCTACTTGTTCCAGCTGAACCATTTATCCACTGTCCTTTAAAACCAAAAGCTCAAATAATGTCCCAGGTTCCAAAATCATGTGGAAAGTCTTCTCAGATTGATGGAGCCTGTTATGACGCAGATGGACCCATGGATTTATAATAATATATTACACACATTCTCTGCTGCATCGTAACGTTATATTAACAGCAAACACTGGTCCTTTAAAGTCTCATTCTCTACATTTTCATCTTTGAGGTATGATAATAAAAGATTATTCCAAATCAAGCGTTTATTTTAAATGGTCTCTTTTAGGCTAATCTATATTTTCCTCATCACATCATACCATATATACTAATATTTCCTGAAGAGAACTCTGTGCATGCATTTCTCCCTTTGCCCAACAGGTGTCGCTCTCTCTGCATCTCTCGTCCCTCTGCCCTGCCATGACTTTGGTGCCTTTGGGTGAACGTGTGACCCCGGGTCAGAACATGTGGGTCTTTGAGCTGTAGAGGGCTCCGCTGAGAAGCCTCCTATTTGGATGAATGGTCCCCGGGGAGGAAGCAATGACCTGAGACCAAAATGATGTGCTGCCCCGTCCACAGAGAGGTTAAGTACTGATATGTCCAAGCGATCCGTTGGACGGGGCTTTTCCTTTCACTGCCCACAGCCAATGTCCACATTCATTACAGGGCTAATGGGCAAATAAAATAAAACAAATCCCAAACCTGTATGGGTTTTATCTAACCAACACTATTTTGTACATTCAGAGGAACAGGGTGAGTTGAGTCAGTTGCTTATATAATTAGTTGCTAATTGAACACTCTGTTTCCCTACAATTAGTATTTAATTACATAACAAGTAGAACAAAATTCAAAACACGTACAATTAAACTTCACCCTTAATTGTTCATTTAAAAAATAAAAGTAGCAGTGGTGGAAATGTGATCTATTATCAGACCTGCAAACTCATGAGGGGTGAAAAAAAAAAAGGAGATGGCGTAAATATAAACGACCTGAGGACCTGCTTGAATTTCAACCTCTCCTCTCCTCGTTTTCTGCTTCTATCTCTGCTGCCAAAAGCTCTTTCTACTAATCCAAAATCGAATCCTTATTCTCTAACCCCAAAAAACTCTTCTCGATCTTCTCCAATCTCCTCGAACCCCCTACCCCTCCTCCCCCCTCCACCCTTCTTCCAGGAGACTTTGTCAACTACTTATTATTATTATTATTCCTTATTTGAGGAAATTGCACTTTCTTGTTCTCTTGAGTTTGTACCCTATGGTTGAATGCACTTATTGTACGTCGCTTTGGATAAAAGCGTCCGCTAAATGACATGTAATGTAATGTAATGAAAAAGGTGACACCATTTGGGGGGGCGAGGCAATAAAGCACAAATCACGACAAATTCATGATACTTATCACACTTTATGCAAAGTGACTATGTCAGTGCTCGGGCCCTAATAACAATAACGAACATTTTAAGAACAATTAGGTCTTAAAAATGAATATAGATTTGTACTTGTGGTGGAGGGGCGTGGTCAGCTCAGCTGCAGGGGGGAGAGCGGGGGAGAGCGGGGGAGTGGTTCAGCGGACGGTGCCGGTAGGTGAGGAGAAAGCACAGGTGGAAATAATCTGCACTGATTGTCTCTGGTAAAAACAGTGAGCAGGACCCAGATCGGGGGACGTGAGCCGAGCAGAGCGGAGCACGAGAGCTGAGCTGAGCTGAGCTGAGCTGAGCTGAGCTGAGCTGAGCGGCCTCGTTCCTGCCCACTGACCCCTTGAAAAATAAAAAGACGTATTGCTCTCAACGCGTGTCCGTGCGTCCTAACGGAACCCGGCGGCGGTAGCGCTATCACGGCCACAGTACTATACACACACAATATCTGCACACAATAAGGTTGAAGTTATTCATGAACCAAATTCTTATTTTTGGCCTGAACAAGTCCTTCAAGGACTCGTTGGCACTGCTTAGCCATGTGCCTTTTTCTTGCAGTCTTTTCTGCCTCTACCTCCTGCTTCCTTTTCTCTGCAGCGGTAGATGTTGAGGGCTGACAGTCAAGCTCCATCCTCCTCTCTGTGGCTATGCGCAACAACAAAGAGTGATTAGTAAAACGTATTAATGGACTTCCACTGTTACTGTACAGCTGTTAGAATTGTGATCTTCTATTCACAATGAATATGCATTCAATCCAGTGAAATTAAAATGACAATCTAATCTGGCAAAGTAGTTTATCAAGAGTGAAATAACAGCTGTGAAGCTTCCAATCTATTACACAGCTCTGCGTTTGCAATCCGTTGAAATGAAGGAACCGGCACTTTAACTCTCTCATTCCTT